GGAGTCACTAGCGCGTTGCCGCCCCCTGAAGACGGAGCACGCTCTTTTCTTGAAGGTCGTATCAGTCCGGAAATACCGCATACAATAATTTGTTCCCCAACTTTTACGCCCACACTAAACTAAAACAACTTTTATCTATTTTGTGCTGTAAAAATTAAATAACTTTTGTGGTCTAGTATCATACGAGTACATAACGCATACCTAGTGCATTTATTAAGCATTAATTACAGAATTAAAATGAGAAATGGTAGCTCTCCAGTTTATATTATATTTTTTATTCATAAATTTGGATATTTCTGTCCAAAGTCCAAAATACTACTTTAATGATTCTCACCACCAAAAGTTATTTATGATTAGTAAGATAAGTTCACTATTATTTTTTCTCTAAGTTGTCTGTGTACTTTTATGGTTTCAATAAGTATTGTTCAAAAATACGATTGCTGTTGTGAGAATGCAAATTTATAGACATTTTCATAAAAAAATCATTTCTGTACTACTCCTTTGTGACTTATCCAGACCAAAAATAGTTTGCCAATGCTTAAATTTATGAATTCATCAATTTTGACAATTAGGGGTAGTTTTCGCATCGGCGGCGGCGTAGGGTAGATTTTGAAGAGGAAGGTAAGAAGAGCTTAATTTCAAATTTTCAGGTTCAAAAATTTGAAGGTTGCACCTTAATTTACCGTCATTCACTGGACTATAAGGAGAGAAAAATATGCTCGAAAACATATCTATGTATGTTAGCGAACTTTCTAATATTCTATAGCCATAATTTATTTTATTGAATACCAATAATAGGCAAACATCTTATTTTTAGACTAGGAAGAAAGTAGGTATGTATGTACTGATTAAGACGATTCAAACAAGCGCAAACTCGAAAGGGTTGTGTCCTTTAATTACAGAGTACCATGGCCAGCTTCTAGCTTCATCCTCAGACCCTTTATATAATCTAGGACAAGAGTTTCTCAAATGTAAATCGAGCAAGCTCATCCTGGATGATGTTGCGGGATTTTATTCCCACACACCATAATCAGAAAGCGTCAAGTTGGTCAAATTTAACTTGCACGGTTTGAAACAGATGGACGAATAAAAACCGAGACGGGTGAAACTAAAGCTTGTAAAAGATTATGCAGCATGAAAACGTATGCTGAATTATTAGTGAAGGTACGCATTAAAATCTGTATATAACAGTTCCTTAGAGGTTCTGCAACATAATACATCTGTTACATAATATATATTTAGGTACCGCTTACAATGCGTCTCTGGCTACGTAACATGATATGCGTTGCATCTTGCATTACAGTCACGGGCAATATAAGTGCCTGCAGTGGCTGCCTTTACTAAATCTGCCTCTATGAAGATTGAATGCGTAATACCATTGCACCTATTTCTACCTAAACATGTATTGTCAAACAAATCGATACAATAGGTTATGTTTAAAAACATGCGCAAATGTTGCGACTCGAGTTATGCAGGACCGCTTAGCCTAGGTATAAAGTAATGTTGCTTTCGGCAATTTGAGTTAAGATAGGATTTTTGTTTTATATCTTAAATGAACGGAGTGTTCATGTATTTCAGTTGTATATGCTTTTTACATGTTCTGAAATAGGTACCTAAGCCTTTTTTAATTATGATATTATAGACAAATATTGAAGGCAAGATATAAGAATCTATTACTATACGTTTATGAATAGATTGCTAGGTATTTAATCTGTACTGATTGTCCATTTTCAATAATGGCTATAAGGTACCAGTAGTGGAGATTGAATACAGAAATGTTTATATTTATTTTATTATGCATTTTATTAACTAGATACCCTCTCGATCTTGATGCGGAAAACTAAATATCCTGCTCTTTATTTACTCGTAGAATAACTCGTAAAATATGTACTCGTAGGTCCATTGAGTCCGTTCTATTCGTCTATTTAGGTGTCAGTTATATATACAATGTACTCGTATAAGTGACGTTAAGTCGATGACATGGGCACACTACACATACATTTCGTTTATTCTTGAGGTGACAAAACATTCTATAAAGATTTAAGTAGTTATCTATCTTTGTCATTCGTTAAATTTACTTTTCGATACCTACTTACATACTCGTTGTGCTATCAAAGGAATGCGGTCGCCGTGTAGACGTTTATTACGCGCTAATGATTCACCAACTTTATCAATCACAGTGATGGAATGATGATTTAGAACACTAAAATTAGTGTGAAGTTAATACCTTACTAATACAACTTTTTCTTAAATGTCTGCTGCGATAAAGATGCTCATCAACATTATGTTTCTCAGTTTTCTCATATTTGTTCTTTTTACTCATAAAGGTAAAGCAATTACTGGAAGTACAAACAAACATTCAAGATAAATCTCGTTAATTTACTACTAGACGTTCTTCGACGGTATATGTGGCTATGAATATAGTACAGTACATACCTTCCTTAATTTATACTTCAGCCAATACAAAAACACTAAGACATAAACATATTTTTATCTTGATTACATAGTTACGTCATTACATTAATTTAGTTGATTAGGGACATATTATTATATTGAGCCTGTTGGTCTAGTGGTTAGTAACCCTGACTGCTAAGCCGGAGGTCGTGGGGTCAATTCCCACCCAAGACAAATAATTGAGTGATGAGCACGATCATTTGTCCTGTGTCTGTGTGCAATTTATCTATAATAAGTAAGTATTGAGAAATATCATAACTATCAGTCTGGTTACCATAGCACAGGCTCTGCGTAGTTTAGGATCAGACTGCCGTGTGTGAGATGTGTGAAGTAATAAAATATTCTTATAATATAAATAGTCGCAAGGTTTTGTTTTAGGACATTTATTACAATGTATGGAAGAAAAAATACCTTTCGGCTGCCGTATCGAACTTCAATGATTAAACGAAAAAGAGTTCAAGCCATTGTGTTGTAAATAATTGGTAATATTAGTTCAATGGTTCGACCATGATTAAATTATTAACAGACGTAAGAGTGACGTAGGCAAGATTACTTTTGCGAGGAAGATTTCAAATTTATGCAATGACATTTTCATCTTATATGAATGTAACAATAATACAAGGTTTTTTTTGACAGTAAGAATAATTACCTAAAATATTTTATTATGGGTAAATTAAGTATTATAAGTTTTGCTTATAAAGTTATAAATTATGTTTTGCATATTTTCGCGAAAATGCTTAAAGATATTACAAACTACGTAGGACAACAGCACTTCAAAGAGAAGGAAAACTTAAAACAAACCCTATACCAACTCTCCTTTCTAAGGTGAGGCTTGTGTCCAGCAGTGGACTACTAAAGACAAGGCCATTAATGTATGTGTGCAAAAAAGGAATTTGAAATCGAAATAATATTACAAACTACAAACTGTATTTGAGTTATGAAGTGGCCATTATTTAAATTTGAGGACATCTCATGCCAAGAGATGAAAAATTCCAACATAGAGGTTTATTAATATCCAACTCATAAAATTATCGTATATTACCTATTAATAAAATATGTAACACTCCTCTTATCTCCTTATACAAATAAAATAAATAAATTTTGAGTTTATAAACAATTGGCAGACATTCACTTTGAAAGAATGAGTAAAAGTATAGAAGTGTTTTCTAAAAATTGATGATACGTAGGTTGGTACATAGCGTAGATTTCCACCATATCCACTTTGTCGAGGTTTTTATACTTGATAGATATTAAAAAATAACTTGTATAATGGTGACGTCAATCAACAAATATGCCGTTTACGTACGTATGTATTTTGTTGTGAAGCTTATGCTGGTTATAATGAGTCAGTTCAATAAAACCGATGTAGGTAATTATAGTACGTGGTTAGATCTTTTGGTAACTCTCGTATGTATATGTACACAGTCATTTGCAACACGTTATATTTAATGTGGACCATCTTATTAAAGATAACCAAAACTTTATCTCACGAATCATTTTTATCTTAACTAAGTACCTCTGCAAAGTGATAAATTAATATTAATAAATATAGAATACTCAAATCTTAATTTTCACTCATAACACGCTTCTAACCTATTATTATAAATAAATTTATTGTGATAATACAATTCATAATCAAGTAATTAGGTTTGTAAGTCTAACGAAACTGGAAAATTATATTTTACACATTTAATAGTCTGTGTGGATTAAGAAAACGGCGTGTCTCCACCCCTTTTCATCCCGTGGGTGTCGTGAGATCGATTAAGGGAGCAAACTACGGACAGGACCCGCGCGATTAAGACAACTACAGCATTGCAAAGAGAAGGAAAACTTGAAACATACGCTATACCAACCCGTCTGGCCAGCTTGGTATATTAGACCAAAACCTCCTTTCTAAGGAGAGGCCTATGTCCAGCAGTTGACTTTTAAAAGCTGTTGATGATGAAAATAAATAGTTTGATTTATCTACTAAACACACTTGCATCTATTTAAGTGAATACTCTGTAGGTTACTACCTACTACCCTTATTGTTTGAATACTTCTGTGTGGCGACTTTCACATACAACGATAGAGAAACATACATCAGTACCATTCAAGGAAGACATACCGAACTATGGAGTAACTACTAATCTTGCATTATGGAAGTAAAGTAATATACAAGTTCCCAATATCACCCCTGGGGCCGCGGTCCGCCAGACATGACCACCTCTCCTAGTCAGAGGATCCTCCGTCCCATCAATTTTTTAGAATTGAATAATTGACATGAAAATTATGTTAAATGTTCAAATTCTAAATAATTTGGACATACGAGTATGTTATATTAACACAACTGATCTATGTTGACATCTTAGCACATTCAACATTGTGGTATTGCTGCTGAGGTGGTGTCGAAGAAGGGCGCGCAAGCGCAGGGTCAGCGGCCGCAGCGCGGTCGGCGCAGGCGCGCGGAATTCGAGCTATGCGTATGAAATGAAAGTGGCCGCATCGTGAAAGCGCGCGCATCCACTCCGGCTGTCCATGGCACCGTGTAACTAAACCTCACTTACCATGAATAGATAAATCCAAAGCAGCTGCATATAAAGACACTATATTCCGTGGTAAACCGCATCCATTGGCACTTCACTTCACTTAGATGTTGCGCGATGTCGTAAGCTGAATAGCGCAACGATTGACGTCGAGGCGCACAAAGTCCATGGGCGCGCTAGTGCGACTGAGCGAAGCAAAGCGGTCGCGTGGGTCGGCGGCGAAGGCACGCACGGGGCGCGCCGCGACTTCGAATCGGTGGAATGCGGCAAGATAGTGGCGCGCGGGTACCGGCCGAGGCTCGCTGTAGGCTGGAGCCTCCGTGTGGGTACAGAGTACGGCGCGACTCAGCGGCGTCGCCGTATGGACGGAATGCGCGCGGTCAACTTCTGGCCATTAAAATAAATAGAATTTCCAAATACTTTGAGGCCGCGGCCCCAACGACCTGTCTATGAACACCTTTAATCTTTTGTTTAGCTTGCAGTTATACTCAGTATTTGGTGGCCGCACCTGCCCATATTTTTGCGTGTTTGTATGTAGGTACATATGTACTTCCAATTTAATATTTTTATGAATTAAACTTTTTCTGTAAATTTCTTGAATTATCCAAAGATATTTTTGTATCTGTGCTGATTGGAGACTCAGTCTGTGAGAGTAGTAGCCAGTAGGTACTCTAAAATTCTAAATGACACGTCGGCCTTACTTTTTCGTATTAGTTTTAATAATTTCATTATGATTAAAATATGGACGCTGTTTAAAAAATTGTTAGTGAAATAAAAAGTAGTGAGAATCCCAAAATAGTTTATTCATAGCTTTTCAAAATATTCCAATCCGCCCCCATTGCACTTATGCATTCGGGCTTTAGCTTTCGAAACATTTAAAAAAATGCATCTTAAGGTCATAAAATAACCGCCGTACTTCGTCAACAGCCCCTTTCACAGTGTTAAGTTTTCGCCCACGGAGCATTTTTTTAAATAAAAAAGAATCGCATCTCATCTCTCTAATCCATGGTTCTAGCAGCTGTGTGAGCGGACGCGTTATCTTGGAGAAAAAGGATGCCACGGACACCGTTCCTTGGCATGATGTTGGAATGGTCCACCTCCAACCAATAAGTAACTGTTGCTAACACACGAAAAGACTAGTTTTCCCAAATAAAGCTTGTAAATTTTCATGTGACTCTTTGAAGGTTAACCCTTGATATCTAAATTTTTTAATCATAAAAAATTTAGACATCAAGTCCATTCTTGCAAACAAAAGAGTGACTGATTCACAATTCAAAATAGAACTACACATAGATGGCCAACACTTTCAGCAAAGAGATTTGCGTTGAAATGATCAGGATGTGATACAAGCATGTCCGATCTAATGATAATTTTGGCTCGCACTGAACGGATTATGATGTAAACTAGCTGTTGCCTGCGGTTTGCTCACTTGATTATTTCTAAATTTGAAAATTCCTTATTTTACCTACCAACTTACGAGTGAAATTAATCCTTCCTTAGTGGGTGCTTCTAAGGTAAAATGCAACAGCTGCCAAAGTTTTAAGTTTGTTGCCCTAGAGCTGGGGCAGCGTGCCTCAGTCAGTCGGTAAGGGCAATTAATTTTATATGTTTGGATCGCTTAGCAATCTATATCGGGATCCTGTGAACCAAAGATTTTTCAACGATTTTATTATAATGGAAAAGAAATAATAATATAATACAACACGTAACAGGTACTACGTATGGTAATATTTATTTACGCGAAAAGCCGAAAATCGATCGAAGTGGCGTGCAATAGGTGAGGCCTATATCAAGCAGTGGACTGCGATAGGCTGATGATAATGATGAAGATTTATAACGTGATTATATTTTTCAATCTATCTATTATATTTTAGTATATTGCATAGATAGATAGTACATCTGTCTATTATATTTTAGTATAACTATGTATAAACGTATTTTATAGTAATTATAATCTACTAGCTGTAACCTGCCACGTTTTGCAGTCACACGTTGTGGTTACAAAAAATAGATAAAAACCATCTCGGAAGCGTGTATATCGTCTCAATATTTGGGCGCAATTTATGCAGAACTTTTTAAGTTTTTGGAACGTCAAAAACCGACATAACATTTTTATATAAGTAAGTACCATAATATAAAGATTATATTTTAGTGTCGGGCCATTGACGTCATCGTAATTTTGATGTCAAAAATCAATATCGCTATGGATTTAGAAGTATGTATATTTTATTGTTATGAAATAATCAGTTTTTTAAATGACGGAAATTCAGAAAGAACTAAACGCACTAATGTTTTTCTATTTTGACAAGCGTTAATTACCAGATTTTATGTCGATCAAACAAAAAGACTCATGCTGGCTGGCTGTCCTTAAACATCCCATGCTTCATGAACAAATGCCGTTGCTTGAAGTCTTTGGTCTGCTATTATTTAATCTGACTACAGTAATAATTACCGAGACTATATATTTATTTATATTTGCTGCAACTAGCTGCCTACCTATATTGCATAAGACGTATTTAATGCTAAAGACATTTTCATTCAGTCAAACCTTTGGGTATTCAAGAATTGTGCGTGTGGTTTTACTTCTTACATTATAAATAATATGATATACACGTTGTCCACATAGGCGGATGAAGATCAAGAGCGCCCTAGGCAAGCATTTCATCGGCGCCCCCCCGCGCCTCTCTAGCCTCCATACTATATTATTAATAGCTGCTAAGCTACTTGACGATACTAAATGTGTGATAATGATTACTTCAAATGTGGAAACCCTCATGGGCTATCAACCCACCGAGGTTTGCGGTGAGGCGGTGTGTTGGAATCGAACCGACTAAAGCCACACACTGCGACTGAAATAAGAGGAATCCGATAACAGTTTTTATTAAGACAGCCGGGCCTTTCTTTCTTTCAGGCCTACACTTATGCAGGATGAGCTGCCTGAGTACCTGGCCCGTTCCCGGGCCTGGTGGACCGGGCGAGTTCTAATCCTCTTCAGGTCCCGCTCCGGCCTCTCCCGCTCGAGAATAACTTGCTCGCAAACGAAGGTGCCTGCAGTTTCACACGCCATCGCTCATATCTCATCTCTCTCTCATCTCATCCCGATCTCCGTCACGGGGCCACACCACACCGGGCATTCTGGCAACGTGTGGAGCGGCCGTATCCATGTTATGCCCATCGCAATAGTGGCACGCAGGTGTTGGTTCCTTGCGGATCACACACTGTAGCGCATCAAAATATTCAAGGAATGTCTAGTAAGCACCTAGAAATTGAATTGTTCATGAGCTGTGACAAAATTGATATTCTTTGTATTACAGAACATTGGCTAAAAAGTCATCAGCTCATGTTCAACTTCAGTAATCATATATTAGGTAGTTCGTTCAGTAGGGAGCGTGCTGTACATGGCGGTTCATTAATTTTTATTAGAAAGGATTTAACTTATAGGAACCGTACTGATATTTTAGGCTTCTCTGCTGAGCGGACAATAGAAATAGCATGTGTGGAGTTAGAGCAACTTATTATATTGAGTGTATACAGGCCTCCATCCTCATCATATATTAGTTTTGAAAAAATTATGAACGAAGTCTTGCAGAAAGTATGTATATAAGTCAAACAAAAGTGTAATTGTGTGTGGTGATTTTAATGTAAATATATTGGAAGATACATCCTTGAGTTCAAGATTTAAAAACCTATTTGGGTCATACAATCTTGATAATATTTTTTTGGAGCCTACTAGGATCACAGCCACCACAGCCAGGTGCATAGATAATATATTTACTGACATAGTGCCACACACCAAAGGAGTAATAAACAAACTAAATTCTGATCACTGTGGACAGATGTGTGCTTTTGCTATGAAAAACAGAATGGTGGTAACACGAGATATTACTGTAGTACCTAAAACTGTTACTCGTATGGAAAATTTCAAAAATAAACTCCTTAGTAAACTACCCCACTTGGGTTATAGTGATGATCCTAATCAATTATATAACGCTTTTTTTAACATGTATTGTTCAGAATTTAAATCAACTTTCACTCCTAAGAAGTTGTCAGTTAAAGGTGCTACAACCTTCAGTGAATGGGCCACCATAGGTATATACAAAAGTAGAACAAGACTTTATGAGCTTTATGAAGAAAGAAATTATAATACTAGTATGGAATTTCGAGAATATGTCAAACAATATTCTAATTTATTTAAAAAAAATTGTTATTCTGCAAAAGTTAACTATTTGAGGTCTAAAATTAGTAATAGTTCAAATAAAATTAGAATGACCTGGTAAATAATTAATACAGAAACTGGTAAAGCAAAGAACAAATGTAATAATTACAGCCTTACTATTGATAATAAAGTAATTAATTCCGATATAGATAGAGCTTTTGAAAAAATTTTCACAGACATTCCAGTCTCAATAACAGAATCATTGAATTCGTCCCCCACTATTGCAGAATCTTTATTGAAAGAGAATATTAACATTTGTAATACTGAGTTTAGATTTAGTTGTATCACTGATAGAGATATAATAAAAACGTTCAATGCTCTTAGTGTTAAGAAAACCGCCGACCTTTGGGGTAATTCTGTACAAATAACTAAATCAATTATTAGCGTAGTTGCATCAGAGTTGGCCTTAATTTTCAATAGGTGCATTGAATGTGGTGTATTTCCTGATTTGATGAAACATAGTAAGATCATTCCCTTATTCAAGGCGGGTAGCACGTCTGATCCTACAAATTATAGACCAATTTCAGTGTTGCCTACTTTCAGTAAAATTTTTGAGAAGATTATACTGGATCAGCTACAAACTCACTTTAGTGCAAGCAAAATTCTACACAGGAAACAGTTTGGATTCAGAAGAGGTCGCTCGACAAGTGATGCCGGTGTTAAACCTTTTGGAAAATATATTTAGTGCCTGGGAGGATAAACAGGATGCCCTGGGTGTTTTTTGTGATTTATCTAAAGCATTCGACTGCGTTTTTCATGAAACATTAATCAGGAAATTGCATTACTATGGAATTAGGAACACTGCTTTGGATCTTCTTATCTCTTATTTGGGTAATAGGATCCAGAGAGTGGAAGTTAATGGACAGAGATCCCTGTGGTCTCTGGTCACTATGGGGGTTCTGCAGGGCTCAATTCTCGGCCCATTTTTATTTCTTGTTTACATAAATGACCTACCTAATGTGATAAATGATAATCAGGAGATAGTACTATTTGCGGGTGACACTTCACTGTTAATTAAACTTAAACGACAGCAATCAGTAACTGATGACGTGAATAGCACTCTCTCTAAGGTTGTGAACTGGTTTAATGTTAATAATTTACTTTTAAACGAGAATAAAACGAAATGTATTAGATTTTTTACACCTAATGTTAAGCAGGTAAAGACCAATGTTCTAATAAATGGAAAGGAGTTGGATCTTGTGGACACCACCAAGTTTTTAGGTATAACACTAGACTCTAAATTGCAATGGGGCCCACACATTGACGGATTGTCGAATAGACTCAGCTCTGCAGCATACGCGGTTTACAAAATTCGTCAATTAACCGATGTAGAAACAGCTAGACTGGTGTATTTTAGCTATTTTCATAGTGTAATGTCATACGGTATTTTGTTGTGGGGAAATGCTGCTGACATTCAAAGTATCTTTGTGTTGCAAAAGAGAGCTATTCGTGCAATTTATAATCTCAGTTATAGGTAGTCACTGAGGGATAAGTTTAAAGAAATTGGTATCATGACAGTCGCATCTCAATATATATATGAAAATTTAGTGTATGTAAAGAAAAATAATCATTTATTCACAAAGTTTAGCGACATGCATAAAATAAACACTAGAAATAAAGATAAACTCGTGTTACCAACCACTAGGCTACAAAAAGTAAGCAAGTCTTTTCGTTGTTAGGGTGTGCGATTTTACAATAAAGTGCCAAGCAAATTCCATGAATTAAGTATTAATAAATTTAAGTCTTTAGTAAAGTCTAAAACTATGTGAAAAGGCTTACTACACTATTAAAGATTATTTAGACGACAAATTTGCTTGGGATTGATGCTGCTCACTCCCACATTTACGTAGACATCTTTGTTGTTAAGTTTGAAAGTGATAGACATTTAATTTTTTTTTTTTTTTGGTGTATTTCGTATTTTGTTTTTGTATTTTATTTTTTGTTGACTTTGAACTGTATAATTTAATTTTTTATTTTTTGTGTAAGTATGTAAATGTGAGTACAGTGTAGGCTTATAATGTTAATTCATAATTTATTATCTTTCTGGTGGTTTTGAGTGTTTCCACGGCCTACCCAAATGTCCTGCTGGCGGTAGTGTCATGCTTCGGGTCGTTGATCTTGACCAATATCGGTTAGGCTACACGATGGCTGGAGCCTGTATGCCGTCTGTATGGACAGGTTGACTCAAAACTATGGTCCTTTCCTCAAAAGGCCTATCCAGACCCTATACTGTACTCGCACAGTTTTATTTAACTTTGTTTACGGACTTAAAAAAAAAAAAACACCTCTGTGGTTTGTTTCGGCGTTTCTTCCCAGAGTGAGTTTTAGGAAATGCCGGCTCCTTCTAGCTATAAAGTCCGACTTGTAAAAATATCTGAAAAGATTTACTTACAGAAATAAATATCATTTCATCATTTCATTTCATTTCATTTCACACAGGTGATCTCCTGCGTCAGCCGGTATGAGAGGGTCCCGTGTTTCCTCTCGAGTCAATCATTCATAACGAGTCTTACCGCTGCTATAATGGCGTGCCCGGCGCTTGGTTGCCATTTCACTCCACTCCTCCACAAGGACCCGGCAGAGTTGGGATTTCTGGTCCTCGATTTCTCGAGTCCTACGATCCCGACCTAGTACGGGCTCCAGATACTTCATCGAGGGTTTGATGTCGTTGCCAGTGCCTCCTACCATGAGACTGGATCCCTCAGGTAGCCTCCGAGGCTCATGAAAGAATAAGGTCTCAGACGTATATATACGATAAGTAGAATCGGAGATTCTTTACAGTTAAAACCTATACTATAGGTAGTTGCACGACTCCTTTTTACAACAATTGTTCTGTAAATCACACAATGTTTATCGTGTTTTCTTAAAGTTTGTCTAAAAAGAAAAATCATGCGTGTATTAGTAGAAAAATTTTTTTTTGTTCAAAGACATATTTCTTTAAAATATTACAATAACTTAAAAGGAGAGAGTTTACTTTACCGCAAAAATATAGAATTTGAAACTAGTAATGAGCTATAAGGATTTACCCGTGCAATGAACTTTAGATTTTCGCGTTTAAGAGTTCTAGACGTACGTGCATCAAGTTAAAATAAAAACATAACACGTTTTAATTAATAATTTAAATAGATGAAGAAAGAATATTTCTTCCGTAACTTACATCGTACCTAAAATTTAATCTTGGAAATCAAAATCTGCTCTTCCTCCCAAAGTGATGGTTTGGAGAGTTGTTGTGACATAAAACGCACAGCACTTAGCAGCTGCTATAGCAAAGTTAGTTGGACTTTAACGACGCCCAGATCTATACAAGGTGACTCCATAAACTTTATAAGTGAGCAGTACATTTCCGTCCACTATAACCATGACGCGACTATACAGGACAGGAATATGATGGACAGCTCTTCAATTATGTAGGAAACTTCGATCTGGAATTAAAATAATAGTTCCAAATTGATAATATACATAGTAGTACAATAGTAGGCCAAAACCTCCTTTCTAAGGAGAAGCCTATGTCCAGCAGTGGACTATTAAAGGCTGTTCATGTGATGTGATGTGCGAATATACATTTGCTGTTCAACATTCTTGTAGTAGTATTTTTTAATACAGTTTCACATTTTGAGAATTGCGCCGAATATTTGGGCAGGCGCTACGACGACGGGGCCGGATGCAGCCAACGCCCCTCTACTTTAGGAGCAATATTAGGAGAAACCGTGAAGTGTTTAATCAGTTCGATTCCAAGTCTCCACCCTACAAAACCCAATGATGCCCGTGCTAAATAACTATAACAAAACACTGTTTTAGTAGTCAGTTTCTACTAATTCTAACTATAGTTTCTATTACATCTACCTACCATAGGATCTATGCATGCATGGCAGGGTAATGTAAATAATTGAAGAAGAATGTAGAATACCACATCACCATTACCACATACCATATGTGGTAATAGTGATGTGGTATGGTATGGTATGTAGATAAGTATATAATAACGAGTTTTAGAGAATAATTAAGGTGTTTAAAAAGTAAAATACTCTTTTAAACATAATAGGAAATACTCTCATTTTAATATACCAACAGTGGCGGATTTGTAGTCTTGGCCACCCTAGGCCCCAGGCCATCAGCTGCCCCTTTTGCAGCACCCATCATATAGACTACAAAATGAATTTATAGCCCAAATTTATCGAAACCAGTATCAGGGAAAATTAAAATTAAAATATCTATTCCCAATTCAGTTAAAGTTAAAGGAACAGCATTTGAGGTACAGGTTGTAACAGTTATTTTTTTTTTACTGTAATGCGTACGGTCTTGTTAAAAGCTACATCTATTGGCCGCGTTGCATTGTTGTTGATTTATCTAAGGTAGTTTATAACTACAGTTTTGATCTTCTGTGTTCACTGATGTTAAATGTCAAAGTAAAATGTTGAGTAGGGATAAAGTCTGGAAGCTTCCTGAACCTAGGATATATAAGTCCGGCTTTCTGTTACGGGAGACACTGCTATCTCGTGCCTTCCGATCTTATATAGTGTTTTGATTGCTGTGTGATTTGATTTTCTTAATATATTATCTGTTCAAAAGTACCCACACTAAAGTGGTGAGTATGTTCTTAATTCTACTTAAGCCTATTTGTTTCTGGAACCTGTTTAATTATATGAGTGCTAATCCATTCGTAGGGTCCCAGATTTCGGGCTCAAGACGGTCAGTCTCAGACGGCGTGCTTGCTCTTTTGTGGCCTTCTGGTACAGACTCAAGTTTCTTGGTACCCTCTGGCAAAGCTGGTGATTGCATGGCTCACGACGCAAGCGGACAGCCGTACCCAAGAGTTACGTACTTAAACTTATAATTGCAAATTGTTAAACTTTTATCCATATCTAATATAAATAGCCGACTCGGGCGGAAGAGGAAGTAACCTCCTGGAGGGACGACGAGGAGGCACCGAGCACCATCAGCTCGGCTCTAACGCGCTCCGCTGCGGTTTTTTTTTCTTTTTCTTGTACCCACACTGTTTAATTTATTTAATTTCTCATTGTAAATTTGAACTACTTTTTTTTTTTTAAATATACATGTATGTATAACTGAGGTGTAAGTTGTTTTCCTCTAAAGAGTCCCATAGGTTTCCCACACGCACACACTTCTATTCTCATACAAGGCGCCCTGAGGTAATCTCTTGAATCTCTCCACTGGGTCAGCCGGTGAGTAGTCCGCCAGAGAGGAAAAGCGGCTACAAGGTTTGTGGCCTGAGTTTGGAATAAACTTGAGGAAACGTTTTACAGGTGATTCATTAGGCACGACATATCCAGTCCCGCTACTAGCTGTTTGAGCGCCTGCGTGCAATGCCCTTAAGCTTTGCCTTATTAAGCCGTCCTTTTTTCCCAAATCCCCCTTCGGATACAACCTCACCGGGCAGCCAGTGGGGTGGTTATGGATTTTATTTCTGATCAAATTCTTTTTATTCTTATTGCAATGAGTTTAGCTATCATAACGACCTATGTGGCTCGCGGAACGCGGGCAGTCCGCCGTTCCGCGATATGCCAAGACCTGACGTGCCGTACAAAAAAGTAATGTGACTTTTAAACTCACTGAAATAAGGTTAAAAAGAACTTGACTAGAAATTAAATATTTTACCATGCTTTACCGTGTCACGACGTCAGTTAGTGCCGGCCCTATGGAGTGGCTGGGCTTTCTGCGGGATGCCATGACTGACGCAGCATGCTTTGGCATGCTGCTTCATGCCAAATCATCCTTCAGGCTGCTGAAGAACACCCTGCCGTGCTGTGCCTTGCCGCGACGTACGTCAGTGCCAGCCTTAAAACCGCATGGTCGTCTCGGGTAGTAGCCGGGGAACCAGGTTTTACCTAGAAAGGAAAGCCCTGGTACCCCAACGGACCTACAGTCATCTACGGCTTACAGATCATCCCTCGTGTGTGATGACCACGGTTCCCCCTCCTTGCCCTTAAAGGCGCACCGGAGCGCGTCTCGTCGCCGCTTGAGCTACCTGCAGTACCTGTCCATTTCGGGGCCAAGCTGACCGGGAGAGTTCTAAACCTCTCCTGGTCCCACTTTGCTCTCTCCTACGCGAGTATAATTTGCTCGCAAAAGGAGGTCCAGGTATTGATCAATTAGATCAATATAATAGAACAACAATTCGTTTACTCTCAGAAGGTCTTATTCAAACACTTTTTTATTGGAATATTAGTATAAAGTGACAAAGACGTCGACGACCATAACGTCAACAGGTTCAAATGTAAGATTTTCTGTATTTTCTAATATGTACCGCGTAACTTTACCAAAGATGGTGTTTTGACATTAAATAGTTGCAATACTGACGCAACAAGTCTTGCGAGATCGTACTTAATAAGAGAAGCAACCAACTTGTGATGTGTGCAACCTGGTCAAAACGTTATTAGTTCATTCCAAAATATGTATTTTTAATTACACGTTAATTTGACTTTGACTGCACGGATGTTTAGGCGGTCACCTCGCCGCTTCCTACTGCGCTGTTGTGGGTTCGATCCCCGCATGGAACAACACTTTGTGTGATCCACAAATTGCTGTTCTTAGTCTGGGTGTTCTTTGTGTCCGTTTCATGTATGTTTGTAAAGTTAACAAGAAAATATTCCTAATGCGGGAATTGTCTTTTAAAAAAAACTCGTAGATGGCCATAATTATAAAATAAAATTTCTATGACAGAAATCTATCACAGAGTATGGAAGTTTTAAAGTTGTTATTAGTGATTAATATTGACATGAACAAAAATTGCCGTTGGATGTAAATGATAAGGAAACATGGACTATCGTTGCTGAGTTTTATCCCGATAACAAATCCAATAAATAAAAATAGCCGCTCTACAATTTTTTGACACTTTTACTGGCAATTACATGTAGGTATAGCGTGATACAATGACAATACGAGGTGGTGGTACAAGTTACAATTCCAGGTATAATTCGATTGAACCAATAATGGACAAGCAGTATTAGGCCCCTACACGTTTCATGTTGTTTGCGCAGCGGCATTTCCACGTAGGAAGATGAGCTTAGAAATTTGTAAAAATTTTCAGTTCATCTACAGCGTCAAAAGTAGTTTTTCAATTCAATTCAGAATTTCACAAAAGCTAAACACCATCTAAAACAAATTTATTGATTTTAAATTAAAATAACACATGGCTTTTGAATAAAAATTATTTGAATTTCGAATTCGCACCAATAAACAGATAATTAAATTTGAAAATGGTCTGGTCTTAAAAATCTCCAACTTAATAGGTATTTACTCCGATTTTTTATTCTGAGTAAAATCCATTATGGCTCAAATTAAATATATTTATAGCAGCTAAAATTAGGAATTGCGTATCAGTTAAATAACAATTTTTAATTTGCATTTAAAAGGAAAATAAACTTTATTTTATGTTAGTAGATATTTTGATTGAAGAATAGCAATAATAAATAATGAAATATACTAGATACAATTTTTAAGTCAAGTTTATTTACAAGAAAAATCAATAGTAGGTAACGCTTTTTGACATAACATGACGTTGTCTATCACTATTTTTTTATATTTGTAGAAATCGCACAATTTTTTATTGCATACTCAACGTAAACATAATCGTCATCCATATGTCAAGCGTGACATAGCAAAAGACATTTTCTCGAAATTGAAGTAATTTAAAATTGCATTTTATAAATTATAATACATATTAGTTTTAAAGAAGTTTGTTCAAAAATATTTTGTTCACCGTTACTGGATTTTTTTAAGAGTAAAGACCATTTCTGGACAACTCCTTTCGTATTGTTTACCTTTCTCCCTCAATCTATGTCATAGTGTGACCACACTGATATGTCAGATGTCAAATTGTCATTGTTGTCAAGAGCACAGTTTTACCGTAGGTAGTCTTTGTGTAGTTATTTTTATCGTTATTTAATTCTAATATTCAATATTCTATGTTTTGTGACTCATTACATAAAAGGTAATTACAGAAATGATTTTTTCGAAGAGTGTGGTATGGTTTTTGTGTCTCTTATTGTTGGCTTCAATTTTTATGGCGAATTTGCTAAACTCAATCGCTACAGACCATAATTTTTATATGGACAACAAGAAAGAAGGAGTAAATCATACTAATTATTTAGGACAAAAATATGTGAAAATATCAGACAGCAGTGCAAACTTAGTGTGGTTTCTTCAGGTGAGTCACATTTTATGCATAATCTCAGAGAACAGTAAGCCAGTCTTATTTTGTGACGTAGTTTTAAGAACAAAGCGTATTAAAATAATTAATTAAAGACGCTTTAACCACAACCACACACACAACACAACCACAGACCACATAACTTTCTATTATAATAGAAAGTTATGTGTCGTTCGTCATTAATTTACTAGTTTAATTTCGATTCCTTAAATTGTATAGTTACCGGTACTGATTTTGACTGGTCGGCGACGGAGGTGGATTCGCTTGTAAATTTTTAAGTGGGAATAGGAAGTAGGGCAAAATAAATAGGTATGCATTTTGCACCTGTTTATTATTATTTATTTTTCTTATTTATATTTGATATCTTCTCATTGATTATATAGTGGAATCAATAATGGTTTAATTAAGATTTAAAGAAAGGGAGCATTTTTTGTTTATCAAATATATTTCCTTATTAGTGAAATAGGAGGGACACTTTCTATCAAATCACTTTCTTAAACAAAGCTGGAACTGATAATTATATTGGCTATTTCTTCTTCATCATCATCTTATTTATTATTTATAATTATACTATTTAATTTTAATAAACTCGCATAAAATATCTGAATTCTTAACTTACCAGAATTGGTAAAGAGAGAAAGTAGAAATGCTTTAATTGGGGTCAATTATATTACACAGAACTGTGTTTCACTTTGTAAACCATAAGAGAATGAATCATCAGTAGCAACATTACCGCATGTGATAAGCTAACCACTGGATGATGTTTTAATTTCCTCATTGCCCACCTCCATAAGACTAATGAGACTCCAGAAGTTGATATGTGTGCAGTGAGAGTTAGCATAGCCAAAATCGATCTAAGTGGTGTGCAATGGGAGTGGCCTATGTTTAACTGTGGACTGCGATAGGATGATGATGAGAGTTAGAGGTCAGCGCAGATCCATGTCCAATATTATACTGTAATGTAATTTGTTAATGATGCATTAGTCAAGTAAAACATTGCATTTCTAGATTTCAGATATACATATCAGTATATTCCGGGACCCTGGAAGAATTTCACAATTTCAACAATTTTGTGATAACACAGTGAAGAAAATTAATCCATTATTAGTGTTGGCCACTGGAGATCTTACTGATGCAAAGGCCAAAGACAACTTGGGGAGTTCCCAAGTTAAAACAGAGTGGGTGTACTACCACAATATTATAAAAGAGTCAGGGGTGACTGACAGTACTGTCTGGTTAGACATAAGAGGAAATCATGGTAAATACAATTACAATATTATATTTCTTACTAAAATTCAAATGACTTTGGCTTCGAAAGGTAAACAGTATGCTAATTAAATATGAAAGTGCAATTCTATAAACATAGTAAATCTATATTATAGCATATATTAAAAGTTTTGTTGGGAAGTGCATTGAACTTAAAGTCTTAAGGAACCTTGTACTACAAAATTAGGTTTTCACAATAAAAATATTCTTATCTCAAATGTTATTTAACTCAACTAGTAGTATTGTGGATGATGAAAAGATAAGGACTTATTTCTCATTGTCATCATGTTATGGCTGATAGACGCTTAAGTATGTCATATTTATCATTTATTCTTCATGTTTACTATCTTAGCCTACACTTGGAGAATGTTACTATACCCATTCAATCAAACAAAACCATAATCACTGTTTTTGGTTCATTTCAATCAAGCAAAGTAATTTTGTAGTTCGGATAACTTGAATTTCCACTTTGATAAAATATTCATGATATGCATGTATGACTTAATATTGTGTTATATTAGTGCTAGTGTAAGACATAAATGACAGTTTTAAAACAAGATAATATATTATAAAAACTTGCACAACATAGGTGTCTTAATTAGTAACATGCTGTGCATTACTTTATCTTGCACATTTTTATACTTTATTACTTTTATGGAATTTAAAATTTCTTTTGCTAAAATAAAGCATTTATATTTCTAACATAGTGAATTACTAATTCTCTCAAAATAAGATTAGTCATTGTCCTGAAGTAAGTTGATATTTTTGTAAAGAGATCCAACCTGTAATCATTGTGGTATGAACTAAAATAGTTTATGTTTAGTTATGTACTAAAATAGTTTAAAAAAACAATTTTTTTTAAAACTATTTTAATAACCCATGAATGTACATATTTTAAGATCTGGCATATCACTACTTTTAATTAAAATTATTGTTATATCTTTTACTACTTGTACTATGTTATACTTTTACAAATTTTTCAAGTAAATTCGATATCTTGTCGTCCAAGATGCAGACAGCCTTATAGTTTCAATTACTAATGTTAAAAATAAAAGTTTTAATTATACCTAAACCAAAAGAATAAAAAATAAAAAGGATAGTGAAACAACTATGCTGACAACACTACAAAATTATGTAAAAGTTTAAACAGTTGGTGATAATTTTTGTTGGTGTTTTATTTTATTGTGCATTGTTAAACCCCCATGGGTCATCACCTCACTGGGGCTCATGGTATAGTAAAGTGTCAGAATCCAACCGACTAAACCTAATGAGGTTTCGTCATATGTGGCTGAAGATGCACTTCTTGGTTTTAGAGTATTTTTTTATTTTAGTAGGGTCTATTGTGAGATACAAATCAGGTGATATCCATCTTATTGAATTGCTAATACTTTATAAAATTGATGCATGCATATTTTATACTTTTATTGATTATTTGTTTTACTATTTTCCGAAACTAGGTTGGGTCGGCTTTAAGTCTACTATGATAGGGCTGAACTTCGGTTTTTTACTTGGAACGGCTGCCATCAGACCTCCAAAACCCAAGTACTACGCGATATTGAAGTTCTGTTGATAGACTGTTGTCGGATATTTTAGGGTTCCAACTACCCGTAACGATTGCACAAATGTTCGCATGGCAACCGGGACCGACGGCTTAAAGTGCTCTCGGACGCACGGAGGGGTCTCAATGTGTTAAAAATGGTCAGCCATCCATAGACTTACCTTGCTAAGATTGTTTAACTTTGCAATGTTTTAACCTACATGGTTACCACTTAGCTACGAGCCGTTATTTTCTTTACTCATGATTCAATTTTTGTTGTTTTTCGTAACGCTATATGATATTACCCCTAAATAACGTAAGAGCTCAGTGATCGATATCTAGTACCTAACATCGAAGCGGCACACATTATATTCCCGGACGGGTTTTCCCTCCACCCGCCATGACGGCCAGACGCGAGGAGGTGACGTCCTCGGCACACGCGGACGTCACGTAAATAGATAATGTACTCGAAGATGGTAGCCGTGCCATTGCGGGCAGACGCTAGGAGGGGTCCGGATGTCTCAATAACAGCAGTTAACGGATCCCTCCTGTTACCGGCACAGAGTGGCATACCGTGTGGTTTTAGTCGGTCCGATTTCGACACCACCCCGCCGCAAACCCCGGTGGGTGATATTTTTAATATCTTTTACCTTAGATATTTCACTCGTCTTTGGCAATACGTGTCTATTAAAGACAATCGACAATCATCTTGGCAACATTCACTCCTTTAACTTACAACTAAATCTGGGACATTACCCTGCAATGATTTTGATAATAATAACGTTTCTTCAGTTTGTGAAACTTTGATTTTATTCTCGGATAATAGTCTCGAATTATCTTTAGCTAAAAGAGGACCTAAGTATTTCTTAAAAGTGGCTGGTATTGACTATACTGATAAGTAATTATAAAGTATTAAATTCGTCCAATTTTGTCTGAAATGTTTAGTTATATTTGCCATTTGTGTTCAAATAGTATAATTTCTATGTACTGTTCGTGAGGCGTATCTAAGCCCGGCTTTGAATTTACGTGAGTGATCGCCAAGTAGTAGCTAGCGGTACTAGAGGTACTAGAGACAAAGTGCGGAAAGCTCGCTGCAAGGTGGCAGACGGCTGTTGACCAAGACAAGCATAATTTCAGTTCGCGGGATACGTTGTGTTGGGGCTGTTATTATATTTTTCCCAACATTTAATGTTGAAGTTTGTTTATAGTTGAAGTTAGGTAAAAAATACCAATGTTGCAGTTATGAGCGTTTATTGAACACTAAAATTCACTGTATAAATTAAAACCCTAATAAACCACAATTTCGCTGACTTAGTTAAGTACGAGTTCGTACACGTTGCGCTCGCGACTAAAGCCGATTGATACTTTACACTATCGCCTCGGTATGCACTCTTACAAATGCAAAGCTGAGCTTATGGGTCGCAACCTGTATCAGCCTACTTAAATATATTAAAACCAAATATTTTAAAGAAAATTCATAGAACTAAATCATTATGTTATACGTTTAATTATAACACGTTTTTATTTATGTTCTAGTTTAAGTATGTGTTTTATAAATGGCTTGTATGAAATATTGAATAAAACCATATTGTTTATTTCACAGATAATTTCAACATTGGTACAATTAATTCTCAAGAGAACTACTTCAGAAATTTTTCAGTTCAAGGAAAACATAATGTCAAATCCTATGTTCATTATGAAAATAAAAATGGTGTAAATGTTGCATTTTTGGGTATTGATGCCTGTCCTGAACCAGGGCTCAGGAGGCCTTTCAATTTCATTGGCATCCTCGATGTACAAGAGCAGTTAAATATACTAAGACTAAAAGCAGAAGCTGAGGCTAAGGCTGATCATATTGTTTGGTTTGGACACTATCCAAGTTCCTGCATATTACCTCTACGGAGAGATTCTGACAGTTTCAATTTGCGTCAAATTATTGGTTCCAGCCAAGAGTCACAAGTGTATGTATGCGGTCATTTACATTCTATGGGTGGTTTAGTGACAAAAATGTACACGAAACAGAAAAAAGGATTTTTGGAACTTGAGTTAGGAGACTGGAAAGATAACAGAATGTACAGATTAGCAGCTATTGACCATGGTCATTTTTCATTTGTTGATCATAAACACAATGTTTGGCCACTAGTGCTTGTTACAAATCCTAAACACGCTCGGTATACGATGCCTGGAAGAGAACCTTTGCATTTAATTCCCGAGTCAACTCATATAAGAATACTTGCATTTAGTGATGTTAAGATTGTTAGCGTACAAGTAACATTTGATAGAATAAGTTGGATGACCTGTAAACACATTGAAGGACCTCTATATACCTGCCAATGGTTGCCTCATTTGTTTAGCACGGGTTTACATACTGTTTATGTAAGAGTTAAAGATGAGTTAGATAAAGAAGCACTACTTGAACATCCATTCACGTTAGATGGAAGTTTAATGAATTTTGATGTACCTGGAAGAATTTTGCTTATGTTGAATGCTGGTGCTGTGGTAAGTTAGATCCTATGTATTAAATGTATTTCTAAACAATTCAGATAATATGCTAATTTTTATTGTCACAGTTTCAGGCAATATTTGGAACACTCTTGTTGGTAAACGTGCTTCCTCTAGTCTTTTTAAGGCTGCAAAAATCACCACCAAAGTATCGAAGAAGATTTGGACGAATTATGCTAAGACGCATTTGGCTACTGACCAAACTCGATAGAGTATTTTATCCCTTAGTATTATATGTAATATACATACCGATTGGACCATGGGCGATAGGGGAACTTATCGATGGCCACACAGGTGCCATCTTTGCCTGGGGTATATTGATAAAAAATTCTTTTTTGCCAGAACCCTTTACATACATGTATGGTAGTGTACAGTTAATGTTTGTACAAATACCTTTAGTGTTCGTATTAACCTATTGTTTAGAATGTCGTCTCTTTAAGTGCCATATAAGAGGAATACGGCGACTTATTATGAATTTGCCGTTTGTGTTTCTGTTGTCAATACAGTTGCTATTAGCATACTTCTTTTGGTTGGAATATGGAACAATGTCTTTTATGTTTGGACCATTGAGAACATGGAGTGTCGCTTTAAGTGTACTACTGTGGTACAAGACACTGAATTTGCCACCAGAACAATGCAGGTACAATAATTTATCATTATATTATTTAAAATTATAACTTAATGCCTTTGTCTAAGTGTTGGTTGATATTGTTTTTTATTGTTTCAGAAAGCTGATAAAGTTGAACGAATTACCTTCATAGTATTGTCAGTTAGATAGGAGTATATATAAATATTTTCTAATTTGTACAGCAACTGAAGATATTGTGATATGATTTAAAAGTAACAACTTTCTTAATGCGCTGAAGCTGCTTGGTGTTATGACGTTGTGCTTGTTATAAGATGACATCGTTGTAACACCAAACAGCTTTATTATACATCATCCTTATGTTATAACTTATAGGATAAGGATAATGTATAATAAAGCGGCTTGCTATAGATTCCTTTATTTTAAGTATTTGTTCTCACCAAAGATTTTAAAGGTTTAGACATTCCAAGCTCATTAAATGAACTGTAGGATAGAGCATAGCTTAGCTTTACTTAGCTTGTTAAAATAACGCTTGTATTGTTTGATAATTGATTCTAATTATAACTAAAGATGCCTGATTAGCACTGTGTACGCAAGCATTCTTAGATATCTGTTTCAATCGTTAGTACATAGGTGGACATTGTGAATGTTGTAAGTTAGTGTTTATGTTTATTTAACAAAATTATATTTACGTATCAAAATTTAAATGTAAATTTAAGAAGATTAGTGCGAGTCCAGAGGTCGAAATACTTAAATAATGTTATTGACTACGTTTTTCCATCTATTTTTATTCAGAAAATAAGTACAGTTTCTCGGCGAGTGCGAATTCTCTTGAAAGCAAGCGTCCAGGTTCTATGGTAACCGCTAACATCACGTGGGCCGTATGCTTATTAGTTACTGATGTGGTAGAAGAAAGAGAGCACATGTTGAGAGCATAGTGGTCGATTTTTACAACTGTCTACTGTGTTATATTAGATCCATTGGAATAGTCATAGTGTATTAAGTTTGCTCATTTTTATGTACAATATCATTGTAGTCAATATACATCGTGAAAATAAATATGTGAAATAATCATGTATAATGTAGATGATTTACTAGTGTTTTAATCTCTATTCAACATTTACTAAATTTTATTTTGATTTTCCATCTTTTTTGGCTATTTATTTATCGAAAAAGAAAGTTGCTTTAAATTAGTAGCAAAATGTATATTGTTATATGTTAATTACTGTTAAATAACATATTTTGTTTATTTTTATAACGGCTAAATGAATAAATGACACTCATAATAAACTCAGTTTGTAAAGGTAAAATATCAATAAAATTATGAATATTTAATACAGATAAGTTGTATGGCATCAAAGTGCGAACAAATGTACGAATACTAGATCGTAATAATTGAAGTTGACTAAAAAGTATTTATAATTGTTTCTCAATATTTTTATTTTCAATAATTCCAAGGTATTAGATAATTTAGGAATGAATCTCAAATATTTAACTGCGTATGCGCAACCAGGCTCTGTAATCTATCGTGTCTATGAAGTTGCGTAGCCAAGGCATAGGGCCATAATAAACTTACACCATTTTTTTTGTTGCTAATTTTTGCCAATGCATTGATTTTTATGCAATAGCAATTTCCAAAAAACAAGTCTTATTGACTTAAGCCAGCGTAACCAACGCTATATCTCCGGATCTCTTACACTTATCAAAACAGACTTTGCGGCATAGAGTTTTGCTAATTATTTGCTATATTTTTGCTAAGGAATAGATGTGTTTGCCATAGCCATTTCCGAAAAACAATGTTCCTGCGTAGCGTAGCCAACGCTATATCTCCGGATCTCTTACATTTATAAAATAGGCTTTGTGGCCTATTTTTTTGCTAATTATTTGCAAATTTTTTTACTACTGAATTATTTCTTATGCGCACGCACGCTTGTTTTAAGGAAAAAAAGGTGTAGCCCACCTTACGATATACATGTCGACTAATCACCAAAGTATCGTTTAATTAATCTTTACGAATTACTTTTAGTTTATTTATGTGTCAGATGGCTAAGCTAAAGCCGTTGTGAGTTATTTAGTAAGTGCAATGCCCAAACTATTTAATAGTTATTTATCCAGTACTTATAATTCCTAGTCTGTTCTCAGTTTATGGTAATTAATTGCTTTTGAATAGATAATGCATTAAAATAATTAGCAAAAAAAAAGTCACAAAGCCTATTTTATAAATGTAAGAGATCTGGCTACGCTGGCTTAAGTTTCAAGTCAGCAGGACCATTGTTTTTCGGAAATGGCTATGGCAAAAAAATCAATTCTTTGGAAAAAAAATGTAAATAATTTGCAAAAAAAAATGGTGTAAGTTTTATTACGGCTCTATGAATTGGCTACGCTAGCTTCATAGTCATTAATCTATCTGCACAGTAGACGTTCGGCTAAAATGTTATAAAGTATTGATACTCGTAATGATAAAAAAATTGAGCCGTTGCGGGACTGGCAGATGGGAAACGTCGAAATAATATTGTAGAAATAATGAGTATGAAAGAAAAGAAAGCTTATAGAACATTACACCGCATTACATGTTACATATACTATGATATGGCGTGGCGACTTGTGTCGTTAGAGGTTTTCGACATTTGATGTGAATACCACATCAAAACATTGATCTACAAAATAAAATATATACGATTCCATAGTGAATTAATTAATGGTGCTTAAATACAATATACAAAAAAATGCAATAATATTTTATGTGTAGGTACAAATATATAAAATGATATCGAAATTTTCACAATAAAAATCACCAATACTCCATATATCAAAATTATGTAGTATAGTCAAGACAAGTTATTTTATCACTAGTTCCCAAAAGGCTGTGAATAATTCGAAATCAGAATGTATAAAATGTGCGCATCTACTTATTTTTGGACTGTTTATACCCTTGTATAGATTTAATTGGTTGTCTTGAGCACTCACACACTTATTTCTGACATTTATTATTGATTCACAATTATTATTCTTACCAAATATGTGGAACAGAGGAGTCCAGAAATGATGCTCGCACATCTTGACTGCAAAAATAAAAACAAATAGATTTTCAAAATGAGATCTAAAAGAAATCTATCATCATCATCTGCCTATATATCGAACTACATAGTAACATCGCAGAAACAATCGAATTGTATTATCAGTCACAAAATTCTAGTCAGAGACTTATGTAGATGACGTAGATATGTCAATAAGATGTTTATAAAAATAGTGACATTTTAAAACGCGACCGGAGTAATGCTACCGACGCGACATTGGATTTGCTGTTAATGTTACTTACTGGTAGTATGACATTTGTGGGTCCGGTGTGAGTCTATTTCATCTCGATCGTCACGGAGATCGCGTTCGACGTTGCAATTGGCCAGCAACTGAAATCTGCGCCAATCGCAAAGCCGTCGGAACTCGCCCTCGATAGCGGGTTAATGTGAAATAGCATGCGGCTATAATTATTATAAATGTCTCTAATATAATAATAGAACACTTACATTAATGTTTCGCTTACCTTCTTTTACAGTAGATTAGGTTATGGACACACGAATATTGTAAAAAGATTTTTATCATATTTTAAATAGAGCTATTGATATTACATAATATTGTTGCTGAATACGATCACTTCATGATTTTATCACACACAATCTTCTCCTGGACGCACTACTGTAATAAAGTTTCAAACTCATGGTCTTGTGATAACAAATGGTCTTGTTGTAATTAAATTTATTCATAATAATAAATCAGTTTAATGAATGTCTAGTCCAGACAATGTTTTTTGTTGAAATAAATTATCGATGTTGTATAGTTGGTGTTAGGTAGATTCCGTAGCCTTTTATGAGGGCTATTTTAGAGACAAGTGATACAAATCCATTTGTAACCAAACCACTTAACTATTGTGTATAATGTAAACGGGTTGAGAATTTATTTCTTCCTTTGCAAAGACATTTATTTTCTATACCTACTCATGACTTGAGCACCGGTGCGAAATGATGCAAATTAGATGTGTGACACCTATTGAACGTGTAATACGTGCGTATTAAGCTTTTTATCTAAATAATAATCCAAATCATAAATATGATAATTATTACATTATCAACCGACTTTCATTTACATGTTTGTACTTGTTAAGGCTTCGCTTTCATCAATTATTGATTGATTTTTTATTGCATATAAAATAAGATATAAATAAAATAATAATTAAAATAATAATTATTTGACAATATTTGAAATATTCAGTAAAAGTAATACAATAAAATGGCTCTGCTGACTTGAGTTTTTGTTTACCATTTTTTTCACGACATTAAAAATTAATATTATGTCATTAACATGGCTCTCATATAACAATATGTTTAAATACCTATTTAAACATATATTTAAACATAACGTATAACAATATGTTCGCAATCTATTATAAATACATTGCCTTCTGACACACTAGCTACTTTTAGTCTCATAACGAAAATAACTAAAAAAATTGTTATCATTGAAATTCTCGAAGGACACCTGAAAGTTGTTAAAAGTATTTATAGACCTACTACTACCATTTGGCAGTAGTAGGTAGCTCTCTTGTTTGAGGTAGATCCGCGAATGGCAACTAATTGTGGAATTAAAGGAAATGCAACACAAACTGTAACGCAAAACTAGTCTGTTCCATGAGGTGCTGTCAGTTGGTTGTATTGTACTTATTTCAATTATACGATAAATATTATGTACCTGTTTTAGAAAAAAAATTGTTCTTTTTCACATTTTACACACAATTGCGTTTTGCGTTTACACACAGGCCAATTCTCGTTAAAAAAAGTTTGGTCACAATTCAGTTCTGATCAACTTTCGATCTCGTAACTGTCATAAAAGGTATTTTCGTTGTAAAATAGTAAAATATTACTAAGACCAGCAGATAACCGATTCAATTTTCTGTTACAATACGATAATATCACGTTAAAGTCAACGTTGGATGTTTAATAGTTTATTACGAAAGTACCTTTTACGACAGTTGTGAGATCGAAAGTTGATCGGAACTGAATTGAGACCGAACTTTTATTACGAAAATTGGCCTTCTGTTGTCTGGTGCTCGTCAGTAACCACTGACGAGCACCAGACAACAGAAGGCCAATTGAACAACAAGTCACTTGAGTTTGAGTTTCCCAGTAGGTACAATTTATAATAAGTTCCTTTTTATATTATTCTATTCGTTAACAAGTTAGGGCGTCCCTAATTGAAAACTATTCGAACAAGAACAAGTATTAATAAGAAGTGACAGTGTAGGTGTGTCTAAATCAAAGGCCTAAGATCCAAAACTATAGGCTTAGCCATTCTGTTTTTTAGGTTCTCTTGTACCCTATAGTATAAAGTAGCTAGTATGTATGAAAAGTCCAGACAGGTAACTGAATGATGTTATCGGTGAACATAATTTAGTTTAATTTGTTTTTGTCTATTCATTGTTGAGCACTGTTGAATATTTGAATTTCAGTTATAGTATTTGTGTCGTAAGTATTTGTGAATATAAATGTATAGACAAATAAATAGTTGTTTTATTATCCACTGATAGCTTAAGTTAAAGTGTTTTACTACAATTCTTAACAGTATGTACATAAATCATACTGCACGCGCGATATAATTAGTTGAAAGAGAATCCATGTTTCCGCCACAGGGTTCTTATGATCTATAGTGTTATTTTGAATTTAAAAAAAATATGTTTTTTGTATTAACTTTCAAATATAAAGTCTTGTGTAATGTGTATTGTGTAATTATGAATGATAAGAATAATCGTATTGTACTTTATTGTACTACGCAGGGCAACAGCACTGCAAAGAGAAGGAAAACTTGAAACAAACCCTATACCACCTGTCTGACTAGCGTGGAATAGTAGACTAAAACGTAAAGGACGTTTTAGTCCTTTACGCTTTAGTCTAAGGAGAGGCATATATCCAGCAGTGGGCCCTGAAAGGCTGTTTATGATGATGATGATTGTATTTTAATTGATTGAATTTCGTTAATTTAATTTTTCCTTTGTTTATACAACGATGCCCTGCAGGAAGAAGGTAGTCCGTGGCCTCAGAGCAAGAGATAAACAGTGCTTACAATACTGCGCTTCGTAATTTGTATAAGTCATAAATTGTCATAATATGGGTTATGTATTATACCTGTCTATTAGATCCAACTAAGTCGCGCTACCCATTGTGAAAGTGAGAAATGACAAAGACGTTAAATTTCCTAAACCAATTTATTTACTACTGGTAACTTACATAAACTTATCGATAATAAAATGCGAGATTTAAGAGAGAAAACCCATTAGGTCAAAAAATATCTATGTTATATCTAAGTTAGCTATCTATCTGCATGCTCTATATACTCTGAACTTTAAAACTATTATGAGAGCAATTTGCAAGCAAACAATCCATAAAAATAAAGCTAAGAAATCGCTATTTAAGTTTCTAGAAAGTTGTAAGTGCTTCAGGTATGCTTCAGGATTTCTAAACATGCAAAATTCTTTGTGACACGGTAGTTTTTCTCGATTGAAACCGTAAACTGTTTCGAGGAAAGCGGCAAATGCGTAGCGGAAGTACGAGATCAAGGCGAAAGGTCGAAGGTATACAGGCATTTCGCTGTAAGGAATGAAAAACTCGGAGAACATCAACATTGGAATGTTGGCAGCCGGTATCACAAACAGCCCCAGCTGAAAAAGAGAATAGATATATTTAAGTATATTTTGAAAAGCTAACATTACCTGCATTTAAAAGTATTTTTTTCATGTAGACAATATATTTAAAAAAATGGGGCATTGGGGCCAACCGCCTAAAACCAGACGGTGTTCCGTCACAATTGACTACTGCAAGGGACTCGGGAATAATTTGTAGCGGTATGGTAGCGTGGTACAGCGCGGTCTGGTCAGGTCTCTCTGCACTCAGCGCTGATCCTGGCTGGTATGCTCCCTCTGGACCTCAGAGTTAGCGAAGTGGCAAAAGAGAGGTGTACGAGTCATGGTTGGGAGATAGAGAGATCGAACAAATGACTCCGGCGATAGAGGCGCCACACCCCACCGAGTATGGGGCCTTGGAGTTCAAATGTCTGGAAGACGAGGAACAATTACAACGCATCGATAACATCGAGGTGCTCATCTTTACAGACGGGAACATTTGGAATAACGGAGCCGAAACCAGGGCCCTCAAACTTGTTCTGTCACTCCAATGTACCGTCTATCAGGCTGAGCTTCTGGCCCTGTGTAAAGCGGCTAGTGAGGTCCTCAGGCGAGGCGAAACCACGTTTGGTATCTTCAGTGACAGCAGAGCCTCACTGTTGACGGTAATTAACCGTCACACCCTCCATCCCCTAGCAGTGGAGGCCAGTGCAGCTATTCGAAAAGGGCATGACCCGGGGTAAGGCGATATCCTTGTTCTGGGTCAAGGCCCACGCATGGTTGGGGGGTGACGAGCAAGCTGATCAGCTTGCCAAGGAGGCGGCTCTGAGATTGAAGAAAGCACCGGACTACGGTTAGTGCCCTGTTTCGTTCGTGAAGCGGAGTCTTCGACAGGCCTCGCTTGGCGAATGGAAAAAGAGGTACAAAAGCGAGGCGAGGCACGACCGCCGCCGTTTCTAGACTCTTTTTCCCCTGCGCGCTGGCTGCAAATGGCGTCGTGCGTAGAATGGAGGTCGCCGGCGTTACGACCCAATTGTTAACCGGGCATGGTGTATTCTCCGAATACTTGACACGATTCAAGTGCAAGGAGAAAAACGAACATACCTTCATTCCACATGCGGCACCTATCACGAAGCCGAATGTCTGTGCGAGTATAGTGACCAAGGCGCAGGTTAGCCAAGCCAAGCCCATGCGAGTGAAGTCCAATGGTTGCGATGTGAGATACCATGCTGGGAATAAAAACACTGTCGCACACAGCAGCTGAAATTAAGAAAAAGAACTTTATTAAGTATGTGCAAAGAGCGGTTACAGATAGCTATGGACGTTGAAATTCTTGGATTTACCGACCTGATGCCAACTCAACCAAAAAAATTACCCCAAACTTGCAAAGACTGCTAATACACATACCTAATATTATATTAATATTATTTAACGGGAATTAACGCGATCTCTTATTTAGGGTATTACATACCTCTGGTTTGCCTGAATTTAATTTTTTTTAATTTTTTTAATTGAATTTAATTCCCGTTAAATAATATTAATTATCATGGAACGCGAAAGTTAAAAAAAAAAAAAACCTAATATTATATATTAAGACACATTCACACACATACATTTAATCACATCATCACATCAACAGCCTTTACTAGTCCACTGCTGGACATAGGCCTCTCCTTAGGAAAGAGGTTTTGGCCTACTATACCAATCTCTTACGACACCCACGGGATGAATAGGGGTGGTGACACTCTGTATTCTTAATTTGTCACCACACGGACAACATACATTTAATAGATAAATAAAAATATATAAATATAACCTAACTATACTTTAAAGCGGTCAGCTGGTTCTATGCCTGTCGTGAATCCAGTGTGACAATATTAAATACGTACCTGTATTGGTAAATCCACGATGATTTTGGAAGCACAGTAAGCAGGCAGAGAGTACCATTTGTTAAGATGTTCATGTAAGATAACTTTAGCTTCTACAGGAACTGGAACAATTACAATGAGATTTAAGACACCTGATCACCTCTAAATTCGATACTGTGCAAGTTAAACTTGTAACTTTACTGTACTTTTTTGCCCCGCTCCTCACTTTACACCGAAGGATGACGTTCTACGATTGGTAGAAAATCTTCATTTGCCCTAGATTAGTACTGGGATTTTCAGGCAATATTAAACGAGAATGTATGAAGACACAAGAAAGCATCAAAATGACTCACTCCACTTCTTCCACGCACTTTTAAATTGATAACTGCATTTCAGTTTGGTTTAATTTTTCGTGTATTTTACAATACTCAGTATAAACATTGTTCCTCACTTCAGATCTTCATTAATAATTTATATATATATACCTATATAATAATGTTTCAATGTTTAAGAAGATCGCTATCTTAATAAAAGTGGGAAAAAATTGTTATCACATATATTATTTATTAAGATAACAATGTCAAGAATAACCATTCAGGTTCTCATGGCGGAGTGGAAAGAGCGACTAGGGCGACCGAGCGCAGGGCACGCTATAATTGTGGTGGTATCATGGCAGATTCTCCTAACGGCTGACCGGCTACAGTTGTTTCGGAAAGTACCTGTGTAGTATAGTGCCATCTTTGCGGAGGCTGTCACGAGGATACTGCACTCCACACCCTAGTGGAGTGGTCAGCATGTACGCAACGACGCCGTTATTGGCGTGGGAAGTCTTTTGCTTTAGACCATGGTTCTGGCCATAGTCCGAAGTGCCAGTGCGTGGGATGGAACCGCTTTTTTGTGTGAGGAAGTCATGTCCGCTAAAAAGGCGGCGGGAAAGGGCTAGTATTCTCTCGTCTCCAAGAAGTGGCACCGAGCGCCGAAGAGGGAACGATCTCCGGCCTCCATGAGAGCTGGCTTGAGGGCGTGTATGTTACTTATAACATAAATCTTCTCATTTATCTCATAAACTAAACTAATAATAAACAAGTTAACAGTTCTTTAATATTAGTTTTTTATACTCACAGGTGTGTATAGTTGGCATAGCATTCGAGAAGAACAGGAACAGTAGAAAAAAGAAGAGACAGCCGGTATTCGATATCATTCTATCGGCATCTGCTCCTGCACCATTATATAGTGCACCAAGTAATAACGCTACGAGAAAGTGGCAAACCAATCTAATCTGTAATAAATAAAAAAGAAGATGAGTAAGTTCTCTCTTATCTAAAAGTGGAGTTTTTTATATATATTTTATCTTTGTAAAATTCTTGAAGATGGCTAGCCCGATTATAAAAATACTTTTTTGTTTGAATGGGAGTACTGGCTTGTTGATTGCATTGTCGTGATCTGATAAAGGAATCCTGGAGATTTTAACTGAATTTCCTAAAATCATTTCTATTGGGTTTAAGTTACAACGAAATAGTGAAATAGAAAAGTGTATTTTGTACAATGTACACCGCATTTATACATTTTGACTACAAAAACTGTAATTTATTGTGTTATGTATTTTTGCTCTCCTTTTAGGAATTTAATTTGTTTTGAACCGTAACGAAAACTAACGAAGCAACAAACCTGTGTCAAATATACGTCTCGAAGTACTCCAATGCTACATCTCCATAACAACGTTTTGAGTTGTTGGCACACAGTCGCAGCATAACCATCTACAGACATCGGGCTTGCAATAAGTAAGGCTTCATATTCTGTTGACAGTCCTATGGAAGAGAATGAAAGGATACAATACTCGTAATGATGTAAGAGATGTATCAGAGAAAGTTAGCAAGTACTTTCTATTGATAGTGGCGCTGACACCTTCATACGAGAAATTAAAAAAAACGTGTTTTGCTCGTTCGTGTTGCTATGCCACTACCTACAAGTAATTAATTAGGCGATTGTTTACAACGGTATTTTTTTAAATCCAAAGCTAATTTTTTCAATAATGTGGTTTATACACAGGAGAAATCAGATAATAGTCAATAATAAGCTGCATTATTAAAAAAAGACGAAAAGCTGATGACGAGATGAAAAAAATGATCATAAGTTTTTATGGCAACCTGTGAGTTCAGTATTATAAATAAATATTCCTCTTGGTTCTATTTGCAGTTATGGTTACTACTCTGCTCTTAAAGTTCTAAGTGCGATGTCACAAAGCCTTAGACCCCTTTTTAATGAAGAAACCTGACGTATATTTACATGATTAAAAAAATCATTTTTTTTCTTCGATCATCATCAGAAAAGGAAACAAGGAGTACCTTCGGCTCATCTACAAAAACTATAGGGCCCGAAGATTGCGAATACACGAGCGAAACCTCGGACACAAGTGAAATTTATAACATCTTATTCTTGTAGTATTAAAATTGTATAATCAACTTTTAATCTGTAAATAAAACGATAGTCCAAAATTCATAAAAATCCTCTGCACAGAGTTACTGTAACTTTGGTTTGAATTCAACTCTAGTTCTCGGGTCAGATTATCATTTTAATGAAAACCGATTAAGAACGCGTATATTCAGACGAGGTGAACTTCAAGTTTAAGTACAAACTTTAGTTATTGCAATCTAAATAGTTTAAAAAGTAGACATTAAAAAGAAATTTGGATTTTTCTGTAAAAACGTAACCAACCATTCGCTTTTCCATTTTGAGTATCATTCGTGGCTATTTTTAACATTTCTTGGGCATAACTACTAGCTTCTTTTTCTAAGAGATTCTTGTTACCCGTGTGCTCATCGCTTGCTATCTCCAATACTGTAAAACAAAATAAACTAGTTAGACTGTTGAATAATACGACTTATGTTATGAGATAATAGACCTTTAGAAAAAGGGACGCACGTGCTGAGCCAAAATGTCTTCGGTTTATGCAAATTATTGTAAGTAATTTGTAAATAGTTCCCTTGAGATGATGTTTGTATTCTTCGTGTTATATTAAATAATCCTTGATCTTAAAGCCTCATAATCTCACTGACATCATCAGAGCAAAGTTGATTTTAGTTTTTTATTTATAGGCTCACTAGTATTTAGTAAAATAGATACAATAATAATAAAGCATTTTAATTTTATGAAGTAAAGATACTATAGGTTAATCCAGCAATGCTACTTCTAATATGTTCAAGTCTGACCTTGCCAATAAAGCCATTGACCGGTGGGTTAATGATCTGTCGGGATTTCCATTCTATATAAAAGTATTAATTCTACTTACGTTTAAACTACGTACTTGTAAAATATATGTTTTGATAAAAAAAAACCTTTAAAATTGCAAACTCATTGAGCTAGAGCCCTAAGATTGAATTGTGTAATTGATAATTTACATATCTGCCAACTTAAATTGTTCCAATTATGTCAACATTTAAAAAATGGGTGTTTTATTTGGTGTACTCGACAGACACTGTCGGGTAAATTAACATAAAAAATGTATCTAGGCAAATCTAATAAAACAATCAGTTGTGATTCATATCAATAATAAATAAAGCACTATTTACTACTTCTCTCCTCTCTTGAAAAAACAAATCATTATGACATCATGGGGTAATAAAAATAATATTTTTAAATGTTATTTTTATAGTTTAAAGACATACGCTTAAATAATTATAAACTACGAATAACAGGACGCACTCCCGAACGACTATATAAAGCGATACAAATTTAAAAAAGGTTTCCCATTTATCATTTTCTTATCGAATTGTCATAGGGGATGGAAAACCAAATTCTCTGTCGGTGTTCCACAGGGGCCTGTCCTTGGGCCACTCCTGTTTAACATGGGGTATGACTGGGCCCTTCGAGGCCATACTTTAACCAGATATGAAATAACTCCCATATTGTGCCGTGTTCCACAGGGGCCTGTCCTTTGGCCACCCCTGTTTAACATGGGGTATGGACTAGGCTCTTCAAAGCCATTTCCTTCGAGGTTTAGTCTGTTACGGCGATGCCAAGTTGGTCGTAGCCCGGGGGGATGAATTTTTAAGAGGTGGCACCTGGTCACAAGGGTTGTCTCTCTGGTGGTCGGGCGCATCGAAGCCCTGGGCTTACCGGTGGGACTGCATAAGACGGAAGGCCTTTTATTTCATAAGCTCCGTCGTGGTCTCCTCCCACCGGCGCCTCTATCGTCGTCAATTTGACGAGCACTTCTAACAACCAGTTTCGCTACATAAAGGTTGTATATCGGCGTTGAGTTTGAGTTTGACAAAGGCATGTGGGCGGGTCGGGTTTTACCCCCACCCGTCACAGGTGCTAACTGTGAAGGGATGACGTCCGCGTGTACCTGGTCTTCACCAAAATTAGAGTTTTTATCCGAAGGTGACGCCCGCCCGCGGATTATTGGGCAGGAGGTATCTAAATGTCTTAATTAAAGCTGTCCCCGGATCTCTCATATTTAAGGCGTAGTACGGTACAATGTGTGGTTTTAGTCGATCGATTCCGACATACCGCCTGATCCCTGGTGGTGACGGCCCGAGGGGATTTCCACAAAACATATCACTTAACTCAGGGTAACATTAGTAGTGTGCTTCTTTATTTGATCTGTTGACAACTTTAGACTGAAGAGAGAACATATTGAAGATTGATAATAACTTAATACTTACAATAATCAGCTATATTATAATACTGAGGGCAGATAAAACCGGCCCTAATTAAGGCATCAGGAAGGTCTGCTACTGATCCTGCATATAATGTCTTGCCATTGGCAAGTACAATGATATCATCAGCCATACTAAATAACTGTGATGAGGGTTGATGGACTATGCAAGCGATAGTGCGACCGCTGCGAGCAACAGTGACCAGGGCTCGTGCTACAGATAGTGATGAAACTGCATCTAGACCGCTGTAATCAGAAAAATCTTTAATAAAAACGTACTTAAGTAGTCGTCTTAATAAATGGTTGACATGAATGATGATGTGCGAACTCTTAATTACCTAGTTGGTTCATCTAACAACATAATATTTGGATCAGTTAACAATTCGCACGCGATTGTCAGCCTCTTTCGTTCTCCACCCGACAAGCAACCTGCTCTAGTGTTCAAGACTTCATGGATACCCAGTTGTTTTGTTACTTTTTTGATCTGGAAACAATTAAAAAAGGTTATGTTGCAGTTCCTTATCAACGGTTTTAAAACCTCAAATTTTAGGAATAAAAAATGATAGTAGTTCTGCAGTCTGAGACAAATCTCACTAAAATGTTAAAAATGTAGTTTTAAGTACCTAATTTAAATTTTAAGTTAATATTAACATTAAACCATGGTAACTGCCAAATTAAAATGAAGAGTTAATCGTTTGTCCAGACACAAGGTGATACTGTGAATATTCTCAGGCGATTTTTATCACCATTGTGTTATTTTTATATTTTAGATCTATATAATGTTTTTATGTAACCTTAAACCTTTATGTAATCTAAAATTTAATCTTAAATTTAAAAAATCTTACATGTATTTAATTAAATACATATAAGAATAAGCATAGAGGGGCTCGTGGCGAAGTTATAACCAAGTAGGTTAGCTCATTGCAAAGTTCAGCAATCCTAGCTAGGTCAGTATAACTCTCCCACAAAGAAAAATGTTGTATGTGAAAGTGGCTGGAGCGTTACAAAATCCTAGAAGTGCACTGATAGTGAAAATTGATACATTTGAAAGTTTAGATTGGCAATTACAATATTCGTAATATGAGACTGATGACAAAATAAAGAGCTGTCCTTACAGTGTTGCTCCTTTCTCTGTGTGACATGTTAGGCAATTTGAGACTGGCGGCAAATTTTAACGTCTCCCCTGCAGTGAGTGTGTCGATGAGGGTCGTGTCTTGATCAACTAACACAGAGCTCCGACCTGCGCCGTACAAAGAGCCTGTAACACCTGTTTTTCTGTAACAATTAACCCTCGTTACCGTTGTTTTGAATAGCTGCATAGCTTCAGCCGATGGTTTCTCATATAAAATTGGAGAGTTATCGAGATTACAGATCTGCGATTATGTATATGAGTCTTAATTTTTTTTAAGACAAAGGCACTTGGAATATACAGCCTTGGCCAAAAGTATTAGGCACCCCAGAAAAATGCACAATTCATGTTTACTGATTGAACAATGAATAAATGCTTATCTTAGATGGCATGCCGGGGTGACAAATAACTTCCTAGAAAAGCAAGCAGCTATCTGTTATGGTCATAAAACACCTGGTGACTCGGACCACCAGAAGAAGACTTGGAGAAGCAGGCTTAAAAGGATGCAAAGCTAGGAAGAAGCCCTGGCTTTCAGAAGCTAACAAAAGAAAACGACTTGAATGGGCTCTACGGCATCAACATTTTACTGAGGAAGATTGGGCCAATGTGGTATGGTCTGACGAATCTAACTTTGAGGTAAGTAAATTTTACTGCTTTTGTTAATAATAATCATGTACAGTTATTTATTTAACTAAAATAATAAAAGTTAAGGCAGTTTAAAAAAAGTGTTTTTTTGCTTTTTTCAACAGATAATTGGAACGCCAGGTGTGACCTTCGTGAGGCGACGTGTGGGCGAAGAATAACATCCAGATTGCGTCGCACCGACAGTAAAGCATGGAGGAGGCAGCATAATGATCTGGACTGCATGGCTACTGATGGGGTTGGCGAAATGTTTGTTACATAAAAGTGCTTAAAACTACGCTTATGCCTTCGCTAACGAGTATTTTCAGTGATACCAACTTAGAGGGAGTTATATTTCCAGCAAGACAGACCTTGTCATAAGTCAGCGACTACGATGCGTTGGTTTACTGAAAACAACATTGACTTATTTGATTGGCCAGCGCAGTCACCAGATTTGAACCCAATTGAACATCTTTAGAGCATTTTGAAGCGCAAGATTAAAGAGCATAGTATCACATCGAAAACGGCATTAAAAAATGCGTTAGTACAAGAATGGCATGCCATTACAAGAGAGGATTGTACTAAGCTTGTACGCAGCATGCCAGCTAGAATTAGTGCAGTAATTAAATCCAAAGGTGGACCGACTAGATTTTAAGTTTTTTTCATTCCTTTTTGTGAATTTTAATGGTAATAAATCAATTCAAAAAGTATAAGTTGTTTTTTTTCCTTTATTTTAAGTAAAATGTAGGGTGCCTAATACTTTTGGCGGGGGACTTTACATACACACATGAAACTGACACAAAGAACACCCAGACTCAGAACGACAAATTGTGGATCACCCAAAGTATTGTCCCATGTGGGGATCGAACACTCAACGCAGTAGGAAGCGGCCAGGTGACCGCTTAAGCCACTACGCCACTAATTTATGTCAAACGTTATGTTATTTTCTGTCTAACTTGAAAGGAAATTTAGATATAAGAATATTTTGGCTTCAGAAAAATTAATGTACTGCCTTAATTAATTTTTTTTTAAATAATGTACTTCTGTTATAAAATTCCTTAAATTTTTTTGTCTATTTTTGGAAACTAAAGTTATAGATCAACAAAATTTCATCGCAACAAGAGGTTTCAGTATCAACAGAAAAAATATTATAAGGTTTTATAATGACCCGTTTCCAAAAACATGAGTTGTGAAATGAATTATTAAGTAACCAGGCAGTTTAAAAATATTTGGTAAAATGTATTACAAATTACAACACTGTTTTGTTGCGCACTATTATTTTATTACAATACAATGTAAGTCAACTACGAGTAAAATAAGGCCATGAAAATACGAAAATTAAATGAGATTTAAAGAAAATAAACATGGAAGTTACAACATATATTAATTTTTTTATGTGATGATTTAAGTGTTCAAGATGTCGTTGGATTCGTCTTAATTGTGAGAGTAAAACTGGCTATATTAAATTAAAATCGTCGGTTCGTAAATTTTAAGTAACATTTTAACGCAGTCGGTTTTCGTTTTTTTTTTCAATATACATATATAATTAGCTTATTTAAAATTTTAATTGCAAACATTGTGCCGAACATCCGCATGCCCTGTTCTCGGGCCTTCAAACTATAGTATTGAAATCGTAACTTTTATGAATAAATCTCTGTAGATAAGTGGTAAGAAAAATCTGAATTCAAAAAATGATTGGGAATTAAATTAATAAAATCATAATCATCATCATTATCTCAGTCGAAAAACGTCGACTGCTGGACATTGGACACAGGTCTCCCCCCAGGGCTCGCCACAAAAACCGGTTTTGTGCTGCCCGCGTTGAACGGCTTCCCGCGACTTTCACCAGGTCGTCGGTCTCTCTGTGAGATAAGACTTCCATCATTATAAAAGAGAGACAGAGACAGGGAGATGTTTTCGAAAGCCTTGCTAAAATCTGTATAAATGACATGAGGTTGTCGCCCTGAGGCAGTGGCTGTCGCTTACATAACTCGGTGTAAGGAAATAAATTATAGTAAGTAAATCTTGATAGTACAAAATCATGCTGCGTGGTTCTGCGCCTTTTTTACAATCTGTAGGCAGCATTAAACGCTTCAGGTGACGAATGTTATAGAAAGACGGATGTTTTCTTTCACGCAAGACCGAAATGTGCACTTTTGAGTTGCTCTGGTTTGGGTTGCTCTTGTTACATTCTAAAACTACGGCTAGTAGCTGATCACGAGTCCTTGGGGACACAAGCTAAACCACAACTGAGCGAGGGCAGGTGCTACTAGTTTTGAGTGTGGGTTATATATTTCGTTATAAATAAATTTATCTATCAACACGCACTCCACAACTTAGCACAAATTGTAATATTTTTACCTGGTTCTCATTTTAATTTTTAGGTAGGCACTATATCTTAGCATCATTGTTGATTGAGTTACTTTTGAATTGTTTCCACCATTGGTTTTCTATCTTGTCTACAAAATCAAAATTGGTTCATTCGTTTGGGAGCTACGATGCCAGAGACAGACACACACAGACACGTCAAACTTATAACACCCCGACGTTTTTGTGTCGGGGTTTTGAATTTTTGAACTGTTTTTACTATTTTAATATATTTATATTGCTGTTATAAAAAATAACTACATAATTGTTTGTCGCATTCTTGACTAAAGCAACAAATTACTTTATTCAATTGTTCATTTAATCACAATAATTATCAATATATTATGTATACCGTAACATATGTAATATAAAATAAAGTTGAAAAGAAATTAAACTTTTCATATTTAATAAAATTAAGTAAAGACATTTTTTGAATAATTGGGTAATTGAATACAAAGTGTGACCGCCCCTGTTGTTTAAAACTTGTCGGCGATGATGTTTCATTGAATTTTTAAGATTTTTATTTGATCCTGCTGCAATCGCTTCCAATGGAATTTTAACAACTCTTTCAGTTGTTGGGTTGTCGACTCTCCGTAGAGGCTTTCAAGAACACGTCTCTGAAGCATGGCTCATGCGTGCTCGATGGGATAAAGGTCTGGCGATTGTGCATTCCACAGCAATACCCAGATGTTTTCTATTGCCAAGTACTCTCTGGTCCTCCGAGCTGTATGCCAACGCGCATTGTCATGCGTCAGCTTAAAATGTGAGCCAAAACTTTGTGCAAATGGGTGAACATAAAACCCGAAGACATCTTCAATGTAAGTTACAGCGTTTATAATTATTGAGGTCTACAAATCCGAGCTCAATTCGTCTGTTCTTCATAATACCCGCCTATACCATCACTGCGAGATTACTGTAAAGGTGCAGTTCCTGGACGCATCTCAGCCGTTCAGCATTTCCGGGATGACAATACACTCTTACCCTTCTCGTATCAGACCTAAATCGAAACCGGGACTCGTCGTAAAAAAAAATTTTATCCCATTGCTCCTGGGTCTATGTCAAGTGTTCCCTACACCATTCGTTTTGACGGGTGCGATGCCGAGATACCTGAGATTGGTTTCTTCCTGTTGCATTCCTACAGCTCTCTGCATCTCATTAGCAGTCAAATGGGGTCACTCCAATGCATGAAAAGTGACTCACCACCTCAATTAAAAAAAAAACAGTATGTCTCAAAATGATAAAAGTGAGATAAATACCTAATTTATAATAAAAATTATTAGCTTTTCTTTTTAAATCAGCCATCATATGTTTTCGAGAACGAAAAATATTGTACTCGTATATCAATCTACTTTGCTAAGTAAGAAATAAAATATCAAAGAATAAAATAAAATAATATGCAGTTGCTATAAAATTATTTAAATTTGGCTGTTTTACCGAGGCCATACTTTTATGTTGCAGACTTGGTTACTATGTTGACTTTCAGTAATAACACTGTTTTGGTGTGACAACTTTTAGAAGTGGTCAAACAGAGCAAGTTTCAACCTATTAAAGTGTATTAAAGAAAATTACACCTCCATTATTTCTGGAGTACATCATGCGCTCATGTTGTTGTTGATGATGTTTTCTAATCAAAGAAAATCATTCTAAAAGCTATTAAATTGATTTCAAAAGATAAAGATATCGAAAGAATCATCCTAAATACCCTAGATTTTTTTAGAATAGGCTTGACTATCACACCTTATGAGAACATCTAGCATACTTGTGCTTCAAATTTTAATTACAATTATTTAGATTTATTTTTAAAAATATTGAAGAATTCTGAACTGATAACTTACAATTGGCAGACCTTCAAATGTGGTCAAACTGGTTTCCTTACATGGGCTATTTTATATAAAAAAAACTTTAGTCCATTTTAATCCAGCTTTGATTAAGAGGCACACAAACTGCTGGCAAATACGGAAACAAGACCGCATTTTCTTAAATTCGCAATTATAGTGTGCAAAATAGCCATAGACCGCAATAAATAAAGATCAAAATGAAACAAAATTTAAGTAAGCGCATGAAAAGACTCTTGTCATGGAGGTGGACAGTTCTAAATTATTTAACAGAACCTAACCTAACCTAAAAAAAACAAGCTTGAGTAATTTATGTTACTTTCGTTTCGGCAGAAAGCGTCACGCATTTTATTAAACCAGTATTGTGGCCATCAAAAACCACATAACTTGAAATAAAATGTTATTCTTACTTTCGGCCGGCCAATATTTTGAGTAGTGTGGTTTTGCCAGCTCCTGACGGTCCCAGAATGAAGGTTAATCGTCCTGGTCGGAGGGCTCCAGATGCACCTCGAAGAATAAAGCTGGAGTCGTCCACATCGGGATGCTTTGTCTGCCATATTTTTCCTGTAAAATCATATAAATACTTGTACATATAGGAATACACTTAACCAACCAACCAAATCAGGAATTGGACACTAGTTATATAACAATTTTTACAGCCTGCATTACCAACCAAAAGTAACGGTGCTTCTATACGGTGCAAGTAGCTAGAATGGGCAAAGACGCGGTTTACTTGCGTCAGTAGCATGCACGAGGTACTTGCACGTTTGGTTCATATAATGTGCATGCTGCTCGCTCTTACATCGGTTTAATTGTGGAGATGGGTCGGTGAGTTAGGGATAAACGTGGTGACTCCAACTCAGGCTCGTTACTGCTGCAAAGGATGTCCGTTGCAATTCAGCGAGGCAATACTGCCAGTATCGTGGGCACCTTTGCACCGGAAGCGATGCGGGGCGGGTAATGTGATTTGACTCGAATATTATATATTCATAAATAATGCATTTTGTAATAAAGAGTATTTACTGTAAGTAATATAAAATTTATAATTAATAATTAATAAAAAAATATATTATACATTATATAATTATTAATATTATACATAATATAATAAAAAATATTTATAAATCAAAATGTACAAAAAAAACGGCGTGAGGGGTCAACAGACCCATGGTCGGAACGAAGTTCCTTTTGCTTTTTGATATTATATCTTGTATACTATATTTTATTTTCATTAGTGATTTTATTGAGAATCGGTAAGTTTTCCTAGTAACTATTACTAGGAAAAGTTTATTATTTTTTAATAATATAAATAATTCAGTTCATTTTTCACTTTTTAGTGTTTTCAGGTAGGAAGTTTTTGTTTGATGAAATTGTTTATTTTTCCATTTTTTGTGTAAATAATCATAGGTACGTAGTAGGTTGAACTTCTTCATATAAGTCGCGAGATGTACCGACTTCAAATGTTATTCTTGCTGAAGCGAATAACTGTGTGTGTTTTAACATTGAGAAAGTTTCCACTGCTACTTAATTAAATTATAATAATAATATAATTATTTTTTGCAATTAAATTATCTTTGGATATGGAATGAGCAAAATCTTTTTTAATTGATAAAATTGCCGGGTTCGTATTTTTTAAGGTATGGTCGATTTTGATTTTAGGTATGAGCAAGGTACAACAATAACCGCCAAAACACCGCGGGGCGCAACTAGTATTAAATAGAAATCAGTAGAAAAACTACAATAACCTGAGAAATAGATTTATTAAAAAAGTTGTCGAAGGACTGATAATCCATACTTTTATATACATATTTTAAATGTAAAATTGATTTTCTTTGTTTGTTACGCTTTTATGCTTAAACCGGTAACCGGTTTTAAAAATTCCTTCTCTAATGGAAAGTTACGTTATCAGCGAATAACATAAATATACTTTTTAACGTGATAACCGACAGAAACGTGGGTGGAGCCGTGGGAACAAGCTAGTGAAAATAAAATAAAAAATTGTTAGTTGAGCACAAAGAACTTCAAGTATCTTATTGAATGTACACACTATATAAGTAACTGGGTCATCTTAACTATAATCAATACGCCATTAAAGGTCAATTCGGTCAATTATAAAATTATTTCATACCTAAAAACAGACAAATAGGGTTTCTTTTTATGGAATGGGGGGGTCAGACAAACGAGCAGATCGGTCACCTGATTGTAAATGACTACCGCAGCCCATGGACACTTATAACTCAAGAGACACAAGTGCGTTGTCGCCCGTTGTATCCCCCCCCCAGACTTAGTGGGGGCTAGATCTTCATTTTTATGAAATGTTATAAGTAAATAGGTAACATTTAGATCGCACAAGTTTATCTTTACATATTCTGGTTTTGATAGGATCCGAACTTATCCAGCCATAATGAAAAGTAGCAAGACAATATACTCGTATACAACATTATTCATAAACTGAATATATAATATACATATTTTATAACACTACCTTCTGTAGTAGGTACTTTCGGAAATCCATCGATTATAATAATGTAATTGGAAAATGAAAGGAACTAAATAATAGATAGCAAATGGTTATTATTCTAAATTGATCCATGATTGTCATTATTTTACCACAAACACACATTCTTGCTTTGACCGTGCAGTCGTGCCTTCTCTACTATAAATATGGTTACTAATATTTTCATGTTATTACAGAAGTTCTTTAAGTTAATCTTGACGATTCAAACCGTGATGTGTACTCGACTCCTGATTGGTCTTTTTTATAATGTTAGTAGAAATGTGACTATTAGGATTTTTTCAAGGCTTTACTGTTTATGCTGTTTTGTATTAGTACAACGATTTAGCATAAATAAAATTACAGAGGACGGAATATATTTTACCGATATAAGTTCAATATTTTCATATACAATTACGGTAGTAATCAATTTTATTTATAGCGGCGAACTTATTGATAATTTCGTGAACAAAATAAGGTCAATTGACAGTTCGCTGGAAGTCAAAATACGGGACGAAATACCGCTTTCTAGGTTAGTTTTCGTTTTTGTTGTAATGAGTAAAGGACTTATATTGATACCGGTATACAATATGCAAAAAATGGAAGCATTCGATTTTATTACATACAGTTTGTTTACATTTGAAATTAGTTTGAGCAACTTAACAAGAATTATGCTTTTTGAATCTGTGTACCTACGTATGAAGTTACTTCGCAAACGGTTTAAATTAGGTTTGTCAGCTACTCGCAGGTTTGAAGATGGAGAACCGGTACTTATTCAGAACTTAAAGAACTGTTTGATTATATACAAGAATATAGTCAATACGATAAAAGAAACTAATATACCAATGAAAAGTCTGGTAAGTAGACTTAATCAAAATACTCACATAACAAAATATATTTATTTATATTTTACTAGCTGGTGCCCACGACTTCGTGCGCGTGGAATTTGAAAAGCGCTGCCTTAGTGGTGAAGTACGGTACGCGACTGCAGTCCGGACCGGGCAAAATTTTATAGGATTTTTCTCAAATGCAAAATAGCCTAAGTTACTCCTTATATAGACAGCTGCCTGGTAGTAAAATATTATTAAAATCGGTTCAGACGTTTTGAGGATTACCCAAACAAACAGACAGCCAAAAAATATTAAACTGGTTTTTAGGCGTAGGTATCGTGCGAATAACCGTATGAGCATGAAAAAATCCCTATTATTTTGACATTACACACAAACACTTCAATTTTATTTATTTGTATAGATTAAAAATCTACGATAGACCTTAAATGAGCAAATTATAGAATAATTTAATAAATTGTAATGCAATGTACCCGCCCTATCATTATAAGCTTCGACCAAAATTTGGTCAATGCTTATAGGTAATTTATTAAGTAAAAGTTTATTAGTGTGAAGAACCCTAGTTGTTTTTAATTAATTCATGTTTGCATTTATGGGTGTATCAAAGGTTATCACGTAAAGTTCATTTAATACCTATTAATGCGTTTCATGGCTATTGTTTTTCGGTTAATAAATTATATATAAATATATAAATTATGTAGGATGCCACTAATTATTTTCTAAAGCACGCACCGAAAATTTTATATCTATACAGTAAGGTTGAATCCTTTCCGGAGCATAAATTACTTTTGAATAAGTAAAGGTTTATAATTTTAAAGGTTTGTTTACGGAAATTAACGCGCTCATAATGTGTGCGTCGACCTATCGTGAGCACGTATAATATTATATTTTATACATATCGCAGACGACAGAAGTCCTCTATAAGCGCAGGCTTGGGGGTGAAAGGTGAGGCCATCTGTCACCCTAGCAGAAGTAGGCCGGGATGGCTGTGCGACGCGCTGTGGAGTGCAAGCGCCCTTTAGGGAGTAGAAGGGGAACATCGTGATTCCCAGACCATCCGTCGATGGACCGGGGTCCATTGGGGTACAGGGGATTACCTTTCTAGGGTATACCTGGTTGCTAGTCGCTTCGAGTCCGACATAACCACCCCACCGGTGGTAAAAAATAGGGGTGAATCTATCTTTTACCCCTAAAACAGCGCCCCTGACTTTTGTACATCGTTTAAAGTTGTATGTTTATATCGGTACATTGTAATAAGTCACCTCTATTTGTACTGATGGCTGTTTTTTACATGCACATAAATCAGCCGAATACACTTTGTATACTTGTACATAATTTAATAACAAGAATAATTTTCTATTTTAAATATAACACTTCTGTCAGGTTTTTTTTATGTACATGCCACAGCCGTATGTGTTTAAGAAATAAATAGGTATAATATTAATACAGTCATTATAGAATAATGGCAATAAATAAACTAACAAGTGATGTGTTTGTTTATTTATTGGCAATATTATGGTGGAAAAACTGTATTCTATTTTAGGTGAGTATGCCACTCAATATTACCGCTCTTACAATAAATTTATACAAAACTCTTTATGTCTCAGGACAGAGGTTTGTAGTTATTCTGTTTTAACTCTCAATTGAGAGTTAGTGTGATCTTATAATGATTTGATAATTTTCAGATGCTACTGGATGTAATTTGCGTGATACCAAAATATCTGGGTATTATATACAAGTTTATCGGCTCACCAGATGTACGTACCTTGTTTCCTATTTAGCCATCCAAAATTTAAAATACATATTTGGGTACCCTGATTTGTTTTAAACTTTTATTTGGTCTGACCTACTCTACTACCTTTAGTTTATTCTAAACAGATATAAAAATTTCTATTGTTAATAAATAATGCTTGTAAAGTTGATAGATGGAACTAACACATAAAATCATTGAAATGTAACAGCATGCTGTGTCAATTAATATTAACATTTACGAAATATAAAAATGTGTTACTTACATCCTACTTTAAGCGTGAAAACAGTAATATTCCAGTGCGATGGCTGTAAAAGAACTTCACATTCTTTTGTATGTGCTCGATTACATATTAGGCTGTATTTCCAAGATGTCTAGACTTGACTTGAATAGACTTTTTCAAAACCAATACTAGTGATGAGTTATCGTGTCGCTAGCTGAAGTGTAAAAACTCCTTCTGGACCGTCATATTTCATTGGGGTTTTAACTTAAGATAAGTATTCGTTACAATGGCGGTATTAATTGAATTCCACCTTTTGCCTATCACACATATACATCTACATATAAACTCACTTTATACGTGTGTGTGTACTTGTTTTATACTCAGGAAGTCTTAAAAAAATATGTCTATGTCCTTGATAAGGTTTCTCAACAGTGATTAGAAAAATTATAGCGAATCACTAATACCTATCTGTCTTCTTTATTAGGTAGAGACTTATGCAAGTTAATGTTACTTTCAGTATAACGCAACAGAATTGGCCGTCACTTTGTTGGAATCGATTATGCCTTTTATACCAGGAATATTTTGTGAAATGGTGAAAAGGGAGGTGGACAAAATTAGGTTGTGCGTCATAAAACAGTTATTGGTGTTTAGAGGTAAGTATAAAAAATAAATAACACATCACGGTAATATGGAACATGACATCCATACAAACAACATCGACACATACGAAGTGGTAGAACAGAAGGCTTTCTTTGACAAGTAGTGTAAATAACTGTACACTATGGCTAGAAATAGAGTTTGTCTGCACGGATGGGGTAGTGGTTTAAGCGGTCGCCACGCCGCTTCCTACTACGCCGAGTGTTGTGGGTTCAAACCCCACATGGGACGACACTTTGTGTGATCCACAAATTGTTGTTCTGAGTCTGGGTGTTCTTTGTGTCCGTTTCATGTATGTTTGTAAAGTCCCCCGTGACACAGGATATATTCCTAATGCGGGAATTGCCTTTAAAAAAAAGTTCAATGTTGATAACACGTTAATACCTTTTGTACAGTTATCTTAATTTAGCTCTTAGACTAAGATTTCAGGACCATTAAGACCTAAGATCATTTTATAATATGTATGGGATAAAGTAGTGTTGTGTGTTTATAATATATATTACGTATATTATCCCATTTAGCTATGACGGCTATAATACTACGACTACTATGCATACAACCAATCGGCAACTGTTTACGGACATAGGCGCCTGTTTGTAAATTTATATTTTTGTTACTAATACTTTTGTTAATATATTGGGTTCGTATCCTGGGTGTTGAAGTGAAACCTGACTTCCAACTACATCAGTTCAATTTTTCCTTGGGCGTGTTTCAGGTGCAAAAGCACGCGATGCGATTAAGGATACGGTGACTTATTTCAAACATCATCCGTTCAGATATACGATACTTCGAGTCCTCTCTATTGATTTAACGCTTATTTTTACTACGGCAGACTTGCTTACCACATACACTCTTGCCTTGATTCAGTTCACCCATGTCTTCGGTTAATTACGTCAAAAATTGCTGAGGTGGTGGAGCTTTGGAGACGGCAAGATTATATATTTTCTAAATATTTATCTCGTACGTTTATTACAAAACAGATATTTGTACTTTACGTTGACTTTATCGTTTCTTTATCTTGATTATTAATGATTTTTAAAGTCTAACAATAAGTCGCTTTTTAAAAATCGATCTATTAACGATCGTTTGTTCTGTGTCTGCGTGTAATTTATCTAAAATATTTGTGTATTAGAAACATTAAGGAATTATGTTTATCAGCAATCTGTTTACTATAAGCTCTACCTAGTTTGGGATCGTTGGTAGTTATTATTATTTATAATGCAATAAACTCATTGTTATAAAGTTGTTCATTTTTATCACTCATACTCTAATAACCTTTTGATAGCATGTAATCATAAGTTATGTGTGGATATATTAGATACACATTAACAATATTAAGTGGATAGTTAAGGAAGTTATGAATATTGACATATGGAGTATTGTTAAAAAAGTCGAAGGTGTCGAGGTGGCGAAAAGACAATTTCTCAATTGATTAATCAGTTTTTACTTTTCTTTTAAAGTATAATACGAAAACTTTGAAGTGCTAATTTTTATTAGAGTCGAGGGTCCATCCCCTACTAATTAAAAAGTATCTTCAAAGTCTGCAAATAAAACATAATATAGAATAGATTTGTTAGGAAATTGTCAAGGCTAATTAAAATAAATGTAAAAAATATCCCAATTTATAAAATAATACTTATAATATATGTGTTATTTTATAAATTGGGATATTTTTTTAGCTTCATTTCATTAAAAAGTTATACAGATACAGATTAGTAGTGCAAATTATACTACAATAACAATATAATATTATTCAATGGCATAATTATAATGGCTGCCATACCACACTCTCGTGTTAAGAATAAAGTTGTGTTACGTATGAGTGGAGGGATTCTGTCATGGAAGCGCACTCCCAGCAGTAACATATATATGTTTACTCTTTACAGTAGCACGACATATTACAGTACAAAAACGATCATTATGAGTCATTTTCTGTATTAGGAAAATTTGTGATTGAGGTTTGCGGCACTTAATACATATATTTAGCGATTATATATTTAGCGCTTGGCAAGTTGACTGTGATGGAAAGTTAAGTCTGTTTTTCGCTTAAACCGTCAATATTATTCGACAATCAAATCTCTAAATGGACAATTTAAATATATCCAGCCATATAGATATGTATCCCTCGCTGATAGTAAAGTGCAACATGTTGAAACAGAAAATCAGATGCCAAATCCTACAATCTTATTTAAATAACATATCGGGCTTATTAAATTATTTATTTGATTAAAGTTTATATAACCTAACTTGCTGCAGTTTGGTAACAGTAGTGCACGTAGTCATTTTATAAATCTGTATATACTCAGTACGTACGTACATTTACCTTCAAAGTAGACGACGACTTAAAATCAATATTGTAATTAATAAAAAGCATAGGCAATAAATAATTCAAATGAAATCGAAAAGCTACATATTGTCAATGAATTATAAATATGTAATACTAATTAAATAAGCTTCCTGTATTTTCAGACAGTACTAGCTGTACTTGCAGCATATCCATCGTTCGTAGATGTTTGTGTAGTTATGGTTCCCAAGTATTTGATATATGCAACGAGGGGGTTACAGGGAGTGTTTGGTGTACAAAATATAATGCGTTTTCGTCTACTTTTTGGGTTTTACTACAATGTTAGTTCTATCACAGTGATTAGACTAGCTGCAAGACTGTACTGTGTCTGTGCGTTTTCAGTCGTGCTACTACAGTATCACAAAGCATTTAATTTTAAGGGGGAAGTGTGGAAGTTCTTTACTTTTCGTACTTTCTACGAGATAATTCCATACTCTGTGACAATTGTGACTAATTTTATTTTTGAGGGAGAACGTCTTTTTACTTTCGCAACCAAATTAAAAAAAGTAGATGATGTACTAAGAGTGATGATCTACGACGAAATACCAATTTCTAGAATTATTTTTCTTTGTATCCTGTCACATAAACTTTTTATCAGTGGACCGTCACTTTTCAGAACTCGACATTCATTATTACAAAATGTTGTACTGTCAATATTTTACTTAAGCATTTTACTACGTAATTTTACAAGAATCATGATGTTTGAATGGTTGTACTATCGAATGAGAATACTTCGTAAACGCATTCAAAGAGACCTCTCGGTGTCTCAAAGATTTGAGGAAGGGGAAAAAGTTTTTGTACAAAACTTGAAGACGGGAATGGTCATTTACAAGAAGCTAGTGGATACTGTGCATGAAACTGACACACCAATGAAAATGCTGGTATGTATTATAATATCACAGTTATAATTATGAAACGTTACATTTTTTAAAAGCGTTTTGTATATAGACGCATGCAAAACAAAGTTAGGTATATTAGTAATATCTTGTGCACATAAAAGAAAATAATTGAGATTTTAACGTTCATCACTATAATGGCTGCCAAGCCACACTCTCGTGTTAAGAATAAAGCTGTGTTACGTACGAGTAGAGGGATTCCATCATGGAAGCGCACTCCCAGCAGTAACATATAAATGTTTACTTTTTACAGTAGCACGACATATTACAGTACAAAAACGATCATTATGAGTCATTATCTATACTAGGAAAATTTGTGATTGAGGTTTGCGGCACTTAATACATATATTTAGCGATTTTATATTTAGCGCTTGGCAAGTTGACTGTGATGGAAAGTTAAGTCTGTTTTTCGCTTAAACCGTCAATATTATTCGACAATCAAATCTCTAAATGGACAATTTATTTACATCCAGCCATTTAGATGTGAATGCCTCGCTGATAGTGAAGTGCAACATGTTGAAACTGAAAATCAGATGCCAAATCTTACAATCTTATTTAAATAACATATCGGGCTTATTAAATTATTTATTTGATTAAAGTTTATATAACCTAACTTGCTGCAGTTTGGTAACAGTAGCACACTAAGTCATTTTATAAATCTGTATTTACTCAGTACGTACGTACATTTACCTTCAAAGTAGACGACGATTTAAAATCAATAGTGTAATTAATAAAAAGCATGAGCAATAAATAATTCAAGTGCTCTATAAGAAATACTATTAACGATAATGAAATCGAAAAGCCAAATATTGTCAATGAATTGTAAATATGTAATACTAATTAAATAAGCCGCCTGAATTTTCAGACAGTACTAGCTGTACTTGCAGCATATAAATCGTTCGTAGATTTTTGTGTAGTTATGGTTCCCAAGTATTTGAGATATGCAACGAGGGGGTTACAGGGAGTGTTTGGTGTACAAAATATAATGCGTTTTCGTCTACTTTTAGGGTTTTACTACAATGTTAGTTCTATCACAGTGATTAGACTAGCTGCAAGACTGTACTGTGCCTGTGCGTTTTCAGTCGTGCTACTACAGTATCACAAAGCATTTCATTTTAAGAGGGAAGTCTGGACGTTCTACGAGATAATTCCATACTCTGTAACAATTGTGACTAATTTTATTTTTGAGGGAGAACGTCTGTTTACTTTCGCAACTAAATTAAAAAAAGTAGATGATGTACTGAGAGTAATGATCTACGACCAAATACCAATTTCTAGAATTATTTTTCTTTGTGTCCTGTCACATAAACTTTTCATCAGTGGACCGTCACTTCTCGGAACTCGACATTCCTTGTTACATAATGTTGTACTGACAACATTTTACTTAAGCATTTTATTATGTAATTTTACAAGAATCATGATGTTTGAATGGTTGTACTATCGAATGAGAATACTTCGTAAACGCTTTCAAAGAGACCTCTCGGTGTCTCAAACATTTGAGGAAGGAGAAAAAGTTTTTGTACAGAACTTGAAGACGGGAATGGTCATTTACAAAAAGCTAGTGGATACTGTGCATGAAACTGACACACCAATGAAAATGCTGGTACGTATTACAATACAACAGCTATCATTATGAAACATTTCATTTTTTTAAAGCGTTTTGAATATAGACGCATGCATAACAAAGTTATATTAGTAACATGAATTGCGTAATAAAAGAAAAGAATTGAGATTTTAACGTGCGTCACTATTGAAAAATCTCAACTGTTGTCCAGGATTATTTATTTCCCAAGTGACAAAATTCCTGAAACAGACTGATTTTTATCAGTGGACCGTCACTTTTCGGAACTTGACATTCTTTATTACAAAATGTTGTACTGTCAATGTTTTACTTAGCTAATTCATTATGTAATTTTATAAGAATGATGTTGTTTGACAAGATTATAAATTTATTATACAGAGTGATTACACTTTTTCTTAGTCGTAGAAAGCAATGATAATAACTTACAACCAGAGGCAGTATATAACACACACGCTCGCGCCATACCGCCTACACCACACAAGCACACCACTCTACACACTACACTAAACAGTATGCCACATCCACTTAGTTTCGACCCGTAAATTTGGACTCAATTTGGACCAGCTCACTGGGCTAAGAATAAAAAGTTAAAATAATAATAATAACCTCAGACATCTCACACACGGCCTTCTGATCCCAAAGTAGGCAGAACCTGTACTACGGTTACCAGACATAAAGTAAGTATACTATGAAGAAAATTGTTTAGTTTTTTATAGCATATGTAAGAAGGTTTTCAATTACAAAACACGGCAGGTCCTGTAGTAATATTATAGTAATATATGATGGATGGTTATGAGATTCGTACCGTTTATAAAGTGTATTCACTTTATAAACGGTACCTAATTAATTTTATCCTAATTAATTTTTTGTAATTATCATATTTTTAGAACTTTGAAAAAAGTATTCTTCTCACAAAATTGTTACAACTGCAATTACTAAACGTTCAAGTGGTGTTAATAAAACGCATTCCTACGTTTTCTAAACTTGCTATGCATAAAATACACATTACATAAAAACTATATATTTACATAGATATTTATAAACGTGTTCACTACTGTATGCTCAG